CTTTGGGAAACCTCCACCTTTTGAATTTGTTTGTCGCCTGGCTTGAGAGACTTGAGTTGGACTCGATCGGATCGGTGACAATGGACCGCCCTAAAGAGACATTAAGAGGAGCAAGTCGAGGCACACACATTTTAAACTTTTTAAATGTGCTTGATACGTGTGGAAAATGCAGGCGTGTGACTTTCTGCAAAACTTAAACTGTGTATTCACACTGAGTTCAAAACAACTGGGTTACCAAATGGTAAATCAACAATAAAAGGGTGAGGATGTTATTTTCCATGTAGGTTTCCTAGTCTTGCTGAATGTGCTTCTAGTCTTTTCTTTGGAGTGGAATTGCCTAATGCTTTGAACTTAAATGAAATGACACCTGGACTACTTAAACGAAAGAAAAACAAGCGTAAGTGCTTCATCTCCCTTTCTCTTCTGTCACACTGGTAGTTTTTTGGCATTAATGTGAGCTGAGGTTTGTGTTGATAATGCCTCTAGTGCAATTCTTAGTGTACAAAAACAGCAGACTCATAACAGGGCATGTTGGTAAAAGTTCAACTTACATATTAGAACATTTTTAATACAGTGGTTCTGTTTTCCCTTTAAAAAAGCACCAATTAGAGATAGGTAGCTAATTCACCAGCTTGGCTGTTATCACCAGATTGTTGCAATTCTTCTCGCCGTCTCCATGCTTACTTAATAATTGCCTGCAGTTCTGAAACTCCACCAACAGATGATGCTAGCAGCTTAATACAGAATGCTCGTGTGCGTACAGGAATGGGATGCTGGGCGTTTGTGAAACTCTGCCTGCATGTTGGCTATTACAGTTACCCAGTATTTGCTTCTGTTAACCAGAGAAAGTGCTTGCACAGGGAGAAGGGAGTAATAACAGGAGGTTTTCATACTTAAAATATGGTTAGCTGATGTGTGTACACTTTCTTTGCTGCAGCTTGGAAACATCCATAGCAGAGTATTTGATTTTAAAAACCTTTAAAGTTTGAAGTGCTGCGGTGGTATCTGGGCTCTGTCCCTATTACACTCTCATACCATATTCTCTAGCTGTTAACTTAATCCTTAACTTAATTGCAGCAGTCTCATGAAAAGCACACAGCCAGAGGGACAATATTCATCTGTCACTGCGAGGTCTGTGTCCAGGTCACCGTGCAGCTGCTGCAGTGCTGCTTTCCACCCTCCTTTGCAGATTGTTGGAGCGCAGCTCTGCGGTACCAAGCTCACCAGCAATGCAGATGGGCTTTAAGTCAAGATTTTTCTGACCACAATTCTCTAAAAGGCTTAGCTTCTAGGTGCTCTGTCGTGGGCGTTTATAAACAACTTCCATAGTGGTGGGTTGGTCGTAGTGTTAGTTTTATGTCTTTTAATAGACTCTTCCAACTTTGGTACCTGTCTTGACGTATCACTGCAGCTTTCCCATTTCTTGGCGGGTTTGAAGTCTGATTTGTGTCAGCACACACGATCAAACCTTAAAAACAGATACTGGGGAGTGAAAGTAGTATGGAGCCTGTTTGACCTTAAATGGTTCTTAAAACCTATTGAACACTTTCAGGGTAACGTGACCGTGTCGCTGTGACAAAGCTCGTGTCTTTACCTCCCGTTCAGCGCTGTCGATGATCTGCTCTGTGAAGTATTTTTCAATAAGGAAAGTCTTTTCCTGCGGGGACTTTGGCGCTATAAATTGCAAGTGGACATGGCTGAACAACCGGCCATGCCTGCCAAGAATCAGCGTGTTTTGCTTCTGCAATACGGCATTGATCTCAGCCTTCTGTCTGTAAGTCAGATTGATTAACCGGTCTAGAAGCTGCAGCAAAAGCCGTGCATTAAAACTAATGATTGAGAGCTTCTGATCCCTGTTTGCTTAGATCTGTCTCCTTCCTGGAGTTTTCATCCTTTCCTTCTAGCATTTCACAGGGTGCTGCTAACGTTTAAGGCTGAAGTTAGTTATGACTACTCGGAGCCAACGCACCAGATTTAACAGAGTACGTTTGGGTTAGATTTTGCTTGCAAGGATTGTTTGCCTGCTGCAAAAATACTGTTTGCTTTTCCGCGCTTGCCACTGCAGAGGTTGATTTGTCTCTCTGAAAATGTTATGTCCTATAACCCATCGCCACTCTTGTGATCTTCCTTTTGTAATAGCAGAATGCAGTGTAGGGAAAAATGCTTTGAGGATAGAAGAAAAGAGGAGAGAGGGGCAGAGATGATCTATAATAAGGAGAACTGTACCATAGTGTTGGATTACTACTCTAAATTTAATTCAAGCCTTAATATATATGTGCAAGAGAAAAGCTTAAAATGTGTGAGGTGACACTCGGTATGACTTCATGTTTGCATTAAATTAGCAGTCCTATAGAGAAATATGGAAACTGGACTCTTAGCCTGCTGTAAACTAACAAATCTTGCTGGGCTCCTATGCAGGAACTGATGTTTACGTGTCAAATTTAATTGCAGTGGTTTTTAACACAAGAACTAGCAGAATCCTCATTCAGCAGGGAAATCCTCAGAAGCAGGGAAATGGCAGGAAACTAAAATCAACTTGGAGCCTGAAATCTGTGTGGTGGGTGCACCTTCAAGGACAGGTGCACAATCAGTGAAGGAAGAGGGGAAGTCACGAAGGCTAAAATACCTACAGTAAAAGTAACAGGGTAGGGAAAGGAGGAATTCAGATCCCTTTCTTAACCTATTGCAGCCTGTCGTTCCTTGCCAGCAGCCTTTCAAAGCTAAACTTTTGCTCTCTCCACAATTTTCAGCTTGTAGGTTAAGTTATGGGGTAACACCCTGCTTCATCCATACCTCTGGGTGTTTTCTTCCTTCATTGCATGCTGTTGGGATAGCAGAATATCGATGCAGGCTGTGGGGAAGGACAGCTCTGTCTGTATCCTCCAAATACAGAAGCCCTGCTAGGCTGGCCCAGTGCATGTTCTACTTTACAAATAAGAATTTTTTACAATTTGAGGGTTATTCTGAATGTAGCTAAACAGCACGGTTTCATGGAAAACTGGAACGAAGACCCGGCCCTGAAGCTGCAGGGTGCTGTGACCGGGACTGGGGTGAGCACAGCTTAGGTGAACTCAGGCTGGGAAACAGCCACTTTTCTCCTCCCTTTTCTCTCCCTCATGTTTGTTTTCACACTTGGTGCTGCTGCTGTTGGTTTCTTCTTCATAGGGTCAAGTGAGCAGGTTTTCTTTGATCAAAGTATCGAGGAGGTGGGCGAAGCTGCAAATAGCTTCTCAGATTTTCTTCAGCATCATCCACGAGACATTTGCTGCAGAGGGGGGAAAAACTAAACACATACAGTTATTCATTTTTTTTCCTAAATTCCAGTGTTTTCCAGGGTTTCTGAATTATTTAAAGAGGTTTCCAAGAACGTGGAGCACAAGCAAAAATGTAAATGATTTCCTAGAACAAAAATAACATTGCATTTATTTAACAGAGCCCAGGATGTCCATCCAGTGGTGCATAGGTCATGCTGACCCTGCGCATCAAATGGGTTTTATTTCAAATTAATTAGAAGGAAGACACCCGGTTACAGGAGGCTCGTATTTCACTGTCTCTTTACAGTTCTCCCTGGAGCTATCGGTCACTGTTTCTTTTACCTTATCGTGCTTTTCTGTTCTGAATGCTGAAGGGGTTTGGTTCCCACGGGGCAGCTGCCAGGCACTTGCACACCACAGTTTTAGTGCAGGGAGTCTGGGCTGAGCTGAGCTGCCTTCGCTGTAGCAGTGAATAAGGCTTGGATGGGTGAAGGGCCTGGAACTGGCTCAGAAAAATCACTCAAAAATATTTTGGAGTAAGTGAAGCGCTGGCTGATGAAGCAGCAGGTGTGTAACAAAGCCAATAAATTCAGGAGGCTTTGTGTTGTGGGGGTGTGTGGTGCATCCCTCAGCTGCTTAGGGTTTTCAGTGACCACCTTGTATCTTTTTTCCTTCGTTAGCTGAGGTTCTGTTTAAATCATAAATCAGCTCTTAGTCTTTTGACTGCTAACCTGTGTTTGCCATTAGCCCATCGGCTTCTGATGAAGCTTTGAGCTATTCCCTGCCAGGTAACCCTCAAGAGCTGAACATATTTACTGCTTCTACTTGTCTTTAAAAAGGTACTGCTCTCAGCCCCAAATCCAGCCAGGTTGCTCCTAACCAGCTTTGCTGGAGGCACCTACGTGCCTCCTAACATGATGCTGCACTGGGGCTGGGCTGGCTCTTGGCTCTTCCGTCTCTCACCCCTGCAGTGGCGTTTTGTGTCTGGTTATTATGGCTTTAGTGCAAAAACTGTGGTTTGTTTTTTTTTTTTTTTTTTGCCTTCCAAATAGATTTGATCAGAGACCTGAACTGCAAAGTGACCTGGTCGTGGGACTGCACAGGAGGGGCTGGCTCAGGGGGCTCAGCCCTGCCTCGGAGAGCTCGTTATCTGCTGGAGGGCTCCTCGGTGATGGAAGATCACCCAGCTTCTCGTGGATGTCTGCTGGGGAAGTGCTCCTCGTTTCTAGGGTGTCCATCCATAGCTGCTGGCCTGTGTCCTTTGCTTTACTCCAGGCTGCCTCTGACTTGGGAAGTGATCGTCCCCCTGTACTCGGCTCTGGTGAGGCCGCACCTCGAGTACTGTGTTCAATTTTGGGCCCCTCACTACAAGAAGGACATGGAGGTGCTTGAGCAGGTCCAGAGAAGGCCGACGAAGCTGGTGAGGGGCCTGGAGAACAAGTCCTACGAGGAGCGGCTGAGGGAGCTGGGCTTGTTCAGCCTGGAGAAGAGGAGGCTCAGGGGCGACCTTATCGCTCTCTACAGGTACCTCAAAGGAGGCTGTAGCGAGGTGGGGGTTGGCCTGTTCTCCTACGTGCCTGGTGACAGGACGAGGGGGAATGGGCTTAAGTTGCACCAGGGGAGTTTTAGGTTAGATGTTAGGAAGAGCTTCTTTACCGAAAGGGTTGTTAGGCACTGGAACAGGCTGCCCAGGGAAGTGGTGGAGTCACCATCCCTGGAGGTCTTCAAAAGACGTTTAGATGTAGAGCTTAGGGATATGGTTTAGTGGAGGACTGTTAGTGTTAGGTCAGAGAGCGGACTAGGTGATCTTGGAGGTCTCTTCCAGCCTAGATGGTTCTGTGATTCTCTTATTTCCTGTTACTCAGCACTGTGGCCTTCATCCCGTGCTGCACAATGGGCAACATCAGAAGAGGCAGGGCTGGTGGTACCTTTTGTGTAGAGGTGAGTCACAAAGAGCCTCAGCAAATAAAAATATGAGGAGGAAAAGGAGTCCTCTGGGTGGTGATGCAGGGCCCAGGGCCTGAACACGATGCAGGAAGAGGTGGCCTCGTGCGGAAACCACCTCAGTCTGTCAGCCATGAGGACCAAGCTGAAGGTCCTAAGCTGTCCTTATGAGGGGAAACTGGGCTCCTGTTCAGTGTCTGGGACTGACCCATAATAAAATAACACTTTTAAGTGGAGAAGTGGAGTTCCTGGCCCCTGAAGTGGAGAAGTGGAGTTCCTGGCCTAGGCTCCTCCATTAGGCAGTGAAGCCAGGCACCTCCCAAGAGCAGCTTATCCCATTATAAAGGCAGCACAGATTCCCCTTAGGTTAAGGAGAATAACTTTAAGGAGAAAGGAGAATAACTTAATGAGGTTAAGGAGAAAAATGCCCCCCAAAACAGAAGGGGCCTACACAAACAGCATAACTTAGAAGTCACATCTAGAGATGGCCAGAGTCCTAAGAGATTTCTTTACCTCAGGCCTGAAATTCACGTTTGCTTGATGGGATTTCGAGATTCAGACCCTTGTAATGTTATTTAATTGACAAAACCTTTGTTCTTTTGAAAAAAGAATCTATCTCATGTTGACATCACAAGTCATACAAAGCACATTTTACATACAAAGCTCATATACATGTATACAAAGCTCATCAAAGCACGTTTCATGGATCTTAGTGGGCCTAATACATGCTGTCCTCACTCATGAAAAAGCTTTGAGGCCCGGTGAAATGAGCCCAGTTCCTAGCCCATTTAGCTCACTTTCTCATAACCATCACGTCTAAGTAGCAGCCAGAACAACAATTTTATCAGTCAACAGCACCTGATTCCTGGCATGCCCAGGAACAGGGGGCTTTCTTTGCAAAGGAGTAGTAGAAATACACCTCCCACATAAAGGAAAATCATCACCATCATCATAGAATCATTAAGGTTGGAAAAGACCTTCAAGATATCTGGTCCAACCACCCCCCGACCACCACTGTCACCACCAAACCAGGCCCAACATTTCCTTGAACACCCCCAGGGACGGTGACGCCACCACCTCCCTGGGCAACCCGTCCCAACACCTGACTGCTCTTTCTGACAGAAATGTCTCCTCATTTCCAACCTGAACCTCCCCTGACACAACTTCAGGCCATTCCCTCTGGTCCTATCACTGGTTACCTGTGAGATATAATAATTAAAAAAAAAATAAGTACGAAGACCAGGAAATACCAGCAAATAACACCAGCAGCCTGGTGAAACCGTTGCTACTCTATGTGCAAATACCAGGAAGCCCAACCCTCCCAATGTGCAAGTGGTCACCTGGAGGCAAAAACAAGGGCCCTGAATGCTGAAACGTGTAAAGTTTTTTTTGGCAGTACGGAAGTCCCTGTGGTTGGAGTTGAAAACCACGAGATGCTCAAAAAAAAAAAAAAAAAAAAAAAAAAAAAGAATGCCTGCCACTGGGCACAGGGCTTTCTTGATGGGTTTTGCATCTGCGACCACCTGCCTTGCACAAAGCAGCTTTTTCAAAGAACAACTGCAGAGAGCAATTGGGCTGAAGGACTCAGCTACACGTCAGCAATGCATGGGCTTGGATGTATGTGTATCTATATAATGATAGATAGATGGGTATATGCTGTAAAACATTCCTCCGTCTTGATCGCTCTGTAATAAAAAAATCTCTTCCACCTACACCAGGCTGCTTGAGCACACACAAGTGAAGGCCTGTGTCCATGGCATGGAACTCACCCACGTTTTCTGCAGAGCTGGACCTGATGTGAGTGACCCAAACAGCTGGGAGACAGCAGTCTGCGGTGGCTGATCCTATTTCAAGCCCACAAGTTATGAGTCTGAATCTCTGGTGAAGTTGCCACAGCGAAATCCTCAAGGCACCATTGAAATAAATGCCATAAAGACAAATGAGCCCAAGTTCTGGAACAGAAATGAATTTCTTCAGAAATCATTGCTTGTTTCATTTCACCTCAGATGCTGAAAACCGGCTCTTCGCTTAAGAGGGTCCTGGTGACATCACATCCTCTCCAAAAAGCTGCACAGCCTCCGAAGGCAAGCGAGAAAGATCATCTGTGCTCCGCTGCCTCGTCCCCGAGGATGACGGACGCATCTCCTACGCTGCTCCTCCTGCTCAGCCTGGGGCTCTGTGAGTATGGGACTGGGATTCTTGGCCACCTTTTCCATGGGGAGTGAGGTAAAAGGGGTTAAGGCGTTCCCCTGTCACCGAATCCAAGGAATTGGGGAAAATGAAGAGCAAGCCCACAAGACAAACGATCAGGGCTGCTCAGTGAACGAGGAGGGAAGGAAAGCAGGAGCGGCGTGACTGCAGCGTGATGCAGCGGGAACACAGCCCGCTCGGACAGGTGTTGCTGGAGGGGACAGGGAATGGCAAAAAAAAGGGGGAAGGGTAAAAAAAAATAGCAGTTGTTATTAGGGAATCACTTCAGATTAGCAGGGAAATGTTACCACCCCCGAGAATGCAGCTGAAAAGTATTCTGAAGGGCAGCATCTGTCTTAAAGCCCAGGTGGCTGAATGCTGAGTCCCCCAGGGACTCAACCAAGCCACCCAAGTGTGCTGCATGGCGTGCTCCTCCCTTCGTGTCCTCCTTCAGGACCCGGGTGCCAGCCCTGGGGCTGCCCAAAAACCCCCAGGAGCAGCCCCCGAGCTTGCCTGGAGCGAAGCCACTCTTCCCGTGCGGGCTCTGAAGGGCAATGATGGACTTGTCCCCCCGCAGGCTGCCCTGGAGCCCAGGGCCAGAGGATCACAGTGACGGCCAAGTTCTACGACAGCAAGAGCACGCACCCCCAGAGCGGAAAGTCCCTGCAGCTGGAGTGTGAGAGTTCTGTAGACAGTGGCATCTCCTGGATCCGCCAGGACAAGTCTGGGACCCTTCACTTCATCGTCTATATTTCTGCCTTGTCCAAGCCAACATTTAAGGGGAGCCAGGCGACGTCTTTACGTTTTGAGGCGTCAAGGAGTGGCAAATCCTATCGGCTGATGGTGAAGTCCTTCGAGGCACAGGACGAGGGGACCTATTTCTGCACCGTCAACTACAATCAACTGCTGTTCTTCAGCTCTGGCCTATGCGCCTTCTTCCCAGGTCAGCAACATCCTCACCTACCTCACTTACACCCAGCACCCCTGCCCATGCCTTTTTCTTGTTGTATTGCCCCCAGTTCCCATCTCTCTCCTGGTTTGCCCAAGGCATCTTGTGCCCAAAGCCCTGGTCCTCCTGCTGGAGGCTCCCTGCTCACCATCTCTGCTTGCTCGTCCCTGCCCAAAAACAAAGGTGGTCGAACAGACCCAGCAGCACCTCCCCATCCCACTGGTGGCTGAGGGGATAAGAGTAAAAAAAGTCCACAACCACCCCCTCCTTCCTCACTTCACCTCGGCCCTAAAAGTCCTTCCAACCTCTGAGTGCTTACAGCACCTCAAACAGAAACTCACGGGCAAGGCTGGAGGTTGGACTGAGGAAAGAAAAAAACAACAGGTCAGTCAGGACATGTGTCCTAAGAGCTACAGATGAGGTAAGATAAGAGCTCAGAAATTGAGAAGTGGTGGCAGAAAGCAAGAAATGAGGAGCCCACAGCTATCAGCCTGCAGCTCGGCAACACAGCTCCCCAGGGGACACGTCGGGCATCGCAGTCCCAAAACTGGGCCCTACAAAGACCTCCCAAGCTGGCAACAGGAGCAGCCGTTCCCCAGCAGGACTGGGGGCGAGCTATTTCGTTCTGTCTCGCTGTGTGCTCCATTCATCCCCTGTCACTTACAGTCACGACGACAGCGGCGCCCATCAAAACCGTGCCCCCCACCACCCCGGGCAGCCAGGTCACCAAGAGGGACATCTGCTTGCAGAGCCACGAGGCAGGTAACCCAGGGGAGGCAGAGGGAAGGAGGGGGGCTCTGCCACAGGGGTTGCTGTGGGTCCGAATAGCTCAGCTGGATGCTGTAGTGACTGCTGGCGTTTTGGGATAGTTGGGGATCCTTTGAGCTCTGTCAGAATTGGGGAGCTGCATCCCTGGGGGGGTGAAGGAGGTGCGTGGATGTGGTACCAAGGGACATGGTTTGGTGCTGGGACTTGGTGTGTCAGGCTGATGGTTGGACTTGGTGATCCTGAGGGTCTTTTCCAACCTAGATGACTGCATGGTTCAGGGACTCCAAGCACTGATTTCACCCCACCTGGGATGACTCACAAATAATGAGCCTGCCTGATGGCTGGGCACTCCAAACAGAGGGCAAGTCCTCTGGGCTAGCACTGGTTTTAGCCTCAGCAGGAGACACGAGAAGATTTTTGGCTCCCTCTCCTCACCTACAGCTCCTGCCAGCCTCGCTCAGAGCCAGACGGGTCCCTTTGCTTGCTGGGCCCCCAGGCAGCTCTGCCAGGGCCAGCAGTAACCCCAGCCGTGAGTGCCTGCAGGACCTTTCCTCTCTCTTGTCTCTCTTTTATTCCTGCAGAGACAAGCAAGGAGAAAGAGCTGAATTTCTTCTGTGAGATTTTCATCTGGGTTCCTTTGACTGGCGCCTGCTTACTGGTTCTCCTTATCCTGGTCGTCACCATCGTGCTGTGCCAAAGTAAGTCACACCCCAAACCCCTGCAGATGTTCCTGCAGCCGCAGGCCAAGGAGCAGAGCCCGGTCCTCCAGCAGAATGGGCTTTCTGGCTCTTCCCCTCACATAGCTATTGAGTAACCAGGACACAGCGAGTGCAAAAGGGCCACTCTTAAAATTCATTTCCGCATTTTCCTCACCTGTTTGTTTAGCTTGAGAAACAAGCATCAAATCCTACACTATAGGATGACAGAATACAAAGAGGAAACTTACCCTACCAAACTGTATCGGTCCTACCACCCTTAAATCAGGGTATGAGGGGCAAAAGTACCAGAACTCTTTGACAAAACAGGATAAAGGTGCTTGAGCATGGACCTTGCAAATCCAAATGACTCTGATCGGCAGCTGGAGCTACAGCCAGCTGAGCTACTGAATGCCCAGCCCCAGAGGCTGGTGCAGGTCAAGCAGTAATGCAAGGGCTCTGGGAAGGAAGAAGTCCTGTAGCTGAATTTCATGTCTGAAATGTTTTAAACTTACCCTCAGCAAGCAGTGGGAGCAAAAGGATTGAAATCAGTTTAATGCCAGCTGAAATCAATTTAGGTTTACTGTGGGGAAGGGCCCAGACACCCCCAGCACCTGCACCCCTTTCATTACATGGCTCAGCTCGTTAGTGTGGGTCACTGCCAGGCTCTGCTGCTGAATTAACCTCACCACATCCTCACTGACCCTACAGCCCAGAGCTGATGTGAGATTGATTTAGCAGTTTAACAAGTACAATTTTTCAGCATCTGTTAGCCCCAAAAAACACTACTAAAAACACTAATCTCCACTACCCACAGCAAGAGGAAGGAATACACAAAGATACACTGATAAACCCCAGCCAATTAGCTGCATTAATTTCTGCAGCAGGCAGCACAATCCCCTCCAGGAGGGATTTTTACATCCAGACACCTCCCTTTTGTGCTAAAATGAATGGTTTACCATTGTATTTCCTGAAATAATGACATAGATGCTAAAACAGGGAAGAGCATCGTTCAGGGGAATGGATCCTGAGCTGATCTAAGTCAGGTTAGAGCCACAAAGCAGCAGTGTATTTAACAAATGCTGGCTAAAGGCAGAGCCCCGTGTCTCTCTGCATCCCTCTGCACATTTGTAAGAGCAGTGAAGAAGCCCAGAGGGTGAAACCAAGCCCAGTGAAACCCTCCTGGTGTGTGCAGGCAGATCGCAGCCACCTGGAGAGAAGCTTGGGATCTGCGCCACTCGCCTGCTGCTGAAATAACTGCTGCCAGCGGAGTTTCAGCAGCGTGCCAGAAAGTCACTGCAGAGACCAAGAACTAATTCCCTGGCAGCGCTGGCAGGATGACCCTGCTACTGCTCCCAGGAAAGCACCCTTTAGTTTGGGATGATCCTGGAGCTGAGAGGTGGGGGGACGTGCAGCACTGCTCACTTGTGTGGCTTTCCCCCCAAACAAGCTGCTGACAGCCTTCCAGGAAACAGAAGGGTGGCAGGGTGCTAGGGAACACCAGCTCGATGCCACTGCTGCATTTCTTCATGAAGCTGTGCCTTGCTGTATCTGAACTAAAACATTTCATTTTTATTTTTATTTTTTTCTATTTTAGAAACCAGGCGATGAAGAGACGAAGGTGAAGGTGTAAGAGGTTAGTACTTGACAGCTGGTGACACTTTGCAACTTGTTGGCACCTCAGCCTGAAGTGACACAGCGAGCAGGTGTCAAAAAGCACCTAAAAAGCCTTCATTCAGGGCAGGGTGGTTGGGAGGGGGCTGTGTAACTGGGGGGGAAGGGTGGAGATAAAAACAGGGAAGATTCCCTTCTGCTTCTTGCTTTGTAAGGAATTCAAACCCCTGAGATCTGATGCTGCAGTAGATATTAAACAGAGAGACAGGAGGCATTTGCAGCAGTCTAAAACCTTTGCACATCTCCCAGAAATTACCCTCACTACCCTCAAGTATTTCTATCATGCTGCTCCAAAAAAAAGCTGCATCTATGGACCATGAACAGGATATGCTGGTGCTAGCAGAACGCCCTCTGCACGGTTTTGGAGCAGCGGCCCCACAGCCGTACGCTTCTATGTCCCCAACAGGCACCAGGTAACAGCAAGGAAAAGGCTCATGCAGCCTGAGATGATTTGCCTAAGAAACAGCAAGTTAGATGCGTGTACATTGAGACTTAGTTTTTTTTCTAAGGCAGACAGGAATCCTTTTTCTGCCCTCTCCTTCCTCTACCCCTCCCCATCTACCCATTCCACTCATCACCCTGAGCCCCCAGGGCCAGACTGTAACAATCCTGCACTGAGCAATTTCCCAGGTAGAAGCAAGAAATCCTCCTGCCCGCACGGACCGCACGGTTTGCTTCTGCAAACTGCCCTCCCTGCAGCTGGTTTCTTCACCCAGCCCATGCTGCAGAAAACCACCCGTGTGCTTCTGCAAGCCCCGTGCTGAGGCTGCGCCCTAGGGCTCGCACAAAGAGCAGAGCTCGAGCACGGGATCCCTGCTGCTGCCCCAGCACCGGGCTAGCGGTAGAAAAACTGGGTTGCAAGAAAGGCTGGGGCAGTAATTTCACACTACCACAGCCTCGTTCTTTGCAAATCAAGCATCTTGCAACCAAGGTAAATGCAAGTTCCTTATTACACAGCCGTAGGTTTCACAATAGGAGAAGAACTACATTTTGCTTATACAAATAAATTAGTACAATCACTCAAAAAGCTACTGCTAAGAGGGAAAAATAAAACTCCCTCCCCTTGCATTTACAAAAAATGGATCCCTACAGATTTATTTAATTTTTAACTGCATGCACCTCAGAGAAAGCATCAGAAATCAGTGCCTGAATAACAACAACATGTTGTAACAATAACATAACAAGAACATGTTATAACAATAAAATAACAAGAACATGTTATGGAGCTGGCACGGAGTGGCAGTGCCTCCTGATCTCTGGGTGCAATTTTCTGCACGTACCCTGTGACCACACAGGACATCACACCTCCAGAGCTGCTTTCTCTCTGGCCAGGCTGAAACACCAAGGGAAGGGCCCCTGGCTTTTACAAAGCCTATTTTCCTCACCCAGCCTGGCACAGTTCTGATCTTTGCCTGGCTTTCCAAGGGCTAAATCGTAACGAAGACTCTTCTCCTAACGTTTAGGCCAGTGCCTGCATTCCTCGCTTCTCTCTATTCCTGCTGCCAGCCCTGTGCAGAGAGGTTTTCTCCCTCAGGAAAATCATCCTGCACGACTGTAGAGCTCTTCAGGTTCCCACTGATGGAGTGCTTGGGTTCCAAGAGCCTGAGGAAATCATCTCACCGAGGACAGCTTTCCTTTGGCACTGCTAACATGACAGGGTTATGTTTTAAGCAACTGCAGCATATTCCAGCTTTTATTTAGAGAGGAAATCCCTGCTGCTGTTAGCAGTCGCCACTTATTGAAATGAAGCTCCCTGGAAGTTCGCAGCACAATTCATTCAATTAAAGAGCACCTCAGGAGCTGGCCTGGGATTCCTTCTGGCACCTGAAGCATTTGTTTTCCAGCACAAATCAGTCTTCAGTGAAAACAGATGCCAGATCTTCACCTCATTAAATCATAAAGCTATCAGTTGCTGGAGACCAGTAACATCTGTCACGTTGGGAGCACGCGTGGAGCCTGTAAAGCCTCCTAACAAGCAACCAGAGCAGTCCTCATGAACTGGCAACAGCTCCCCTGCCTCCCCAAAGCCCTCAGCCTTGCTTTCAGGGCAGCATTGTGTTAGCAGAGGGAGGGGGACGAGGCTCCTCGCATTTCTGACAGTGCAAAGGCTTGGTGAGAGCATGGAAATGTGCAAAGGTTAAAGGTAAATTTTAAAACGACCCCCCATTTTTTTTTTTAATAATAATTAAAAAAAAAGAAAGAAAAGAAACAACAAAAAAAAAAAAAAAAAAAAAAAAACAAAAAGAAAAAAAAAAAAACACACAATTGCTTAGCAGTTTATCTCAAGCCCTGCTGTTGAAGGGGCTGTTGGAACACTTCCCAGCCTGCTCTTTGAGATCCCAGCTGCAGACCAAGGCCAAGAGAGCTGATCAGCAGTGTTACAGCAATTGCCTTCTTGTTTGTTTCATGTCAAATAAATCACAAACGTTTCTCTCTCTAGACCTGCAAACGGGAAGCCCAAAATGAATCCCAAGGTGCCAAGCCAAGCAGATATGAGCACCTGCACCTCTTGGCTTCTGGATCCCCTTCTGGGAGCAAATGCCCATCACCTACACGATCTGTATGGCTGCAACTTCTCATGCACTCTTATCCTGAGAAATTTGAAGAGACAAGCGTCCAGATGGAGCAGGGACATGCAGAAGGCAAGCAGGCACTTCCTCTGCTGAACTGCGTGCCAAAGCACAGCTCCTTCCACAACCTGAGGTTTGCAAAGTGATTCCCAAGGCCAAACTGTCGCCTTTAATCCCAGTGACAGAGCTGGGGTTCAGGCAGAAGAAACAGCTCAGTCCTGATGCCAACATACAGGATTGTTGGCAGTCCTGATGCCAGCAACAGCCAAAACGCAGCAAAATTTGAATTTGCTTTCTTTGGAAATCACTCTGGAGCCATCTCAGTTCCTATACCCTCTTTTTGGGGTGCCATGCATCTCCTAGAGTCTCTGTCTAATACAACACAAGGTCACACTGAGAAAGTAAATACAAATTAATGGGCCTTGCTCTTCATGGTTTTACAGTCCCGTAAGCTGAAGCTTACTGTTTCCCTCTTGCTGTCCTTGTTCTGCTGCTAGCCCCACTTCCATGGATTTCAGCAGTTTTGCCTGAGCACGGAATGGGAGCTTTTCTTTCTTTCTGGAATAAATGGTTGAGTAGATAAAAAGTAAAAGTCTTTGTTACGGATTTGGTTAAGCAGGGTATTTAGCGTAACAACCTGGGACATATCAACCGATCTAAATGAGAGTTCTGGGTTTTTCTAGCTATATACTTGGTGTAAATATTTCCTTATGACACTGGCAAATCAACAACTGGGGTAAAAAATAAAACAGTATTTCTAGTCGGACTTACTAATGCTTCTTTCTTTCTTCACTTCCTAGCTTCAGAAAAGCTAAAAATCAATGTGAAAATATAAACGAGAGTTTGAGGCAAGGGGTAAGGGAAAAGGCAGTGACTTACACACCAGCCTGGGCTTTAGGATGCCAGAGTTTAGCTTGCAGTTTGCCACAGCCTTGAAACAAGCTCTCTACAATTATTTTCCCTGGGACTCGCAGGATGGGCCCAGTAACACTCCCCCGTGCTAGGAAGGGGGATGAGATAAAGGCTGGGAAGGTGCTCTGGTATCCTTGCCAAGGGACTGATAAAAGCCTGGAGAGGAAAAAAAAAAATGGAGAATGAAAAACTCTTTGCTAATCTGCAAACAAGCTGGGAACGAGAGAATTGAGAGAGAAACTGCTCTTAGTTCCTTGTAATAATTAATGGGGGAAAAAAGAGTGACAGAACTACACGAACACACACTGTAAAGAAAAAAAGGAGTCTCAAGGTGAGCTGCTGCTTCCAGGCACATCGAGTCCAGCCGTTACCCCCACTTCACCAGGCTGTGCTTAGCCAAAGCAGTCTGAGCTCGCCCGACGGTCAGCTCTAACCACGCAGATGAAAGGCTCAGGCCTCTCGTCTCCCCTGCGAGCACCCCTTGCATTATCGGCTTGGAGTTGCTGCCTTCATTTGAGATGGATGCTTGCTCTTATAGAGCCTTAACTCCATTCCTGCAAAGCTGTTTTACAAAACCCACAAAACTGCTGCCTCCCCAGGAGCATCCCTCACTGTGTCCTCACTGCTCTGACATTTTATCCTCGCACACAAGCGCTTTGCACAGCTTTGGCCAACGTGATGTGCCCCGTGCTGCCACAATACTGTAGCCCGGGCTGTCAGGCAGTGCTCCACCTGTCTGGGGCTAGCCCCAAAACCTAAAGCCTCTCCCACAGAGCCTCCTTGGCACAGCTGCAGTCCCACGAGGATTGAGATCTGAGGGTTTGAGCACTGCTGGTGCTGAGACAAAGTTGGCACGGGGGTGGGAGGCTGCTGGAGATCCCCGTTTGAACGCAGAGAGCTCACTGGGGCTGCAGGAGAACCGATCAGGAAAGCAACGCAACAACTGCAGTTCATTAACCAGGGACAGGAATTGGGGCTTAAAGATGTCAGTGCCACGTCTGGCTGCTCTAGGAACCAAGAGATCCAAGGGTTACACGGTACAAAATGTGCTCAGGACAAACCGAGAGGGGAACCCAAAGAAGGGAAAGAGAGGCTGGGATGCCCAGTAGGGACACTGTGAATGGTTTAAAGAAGTTTCTGATTCCCTGCTTCTGAGCTAAGTGAGCTGTCCTCTCCTTGAAACATCTGCAGATTTGAAGGACCCTGAGCTGAGCTTGTAGGACAAGCTGCTAACTAAAGACGCTCAAAAAGCTCTTCCTCCCCTGCGCCTCCTCAAACAAAGGAGCAGGTGTTATTTGAGTGAGCTGTAAAGCCTTCAGAAAAGAAAGTGCAAGCAGCTCACGCAGCCACTGAGGAAAAGATTAAGCTCTACAGCTGACACATCTCCTGAGCCAGCCCCTACCACGGGATTCGTACGATGCCACAATCTGCAGCTCTGCATCCACCTGCACCCCCTGTGCCTTCCCCTAGCGCTCTCGTCACGGGCTCTGATGTTACAGAGTCACTGCTGCTGAACTCAGCAATCCAGAGAGGCTCCTCTTAGGGAGAGGTCACGACTGGAGACATCCCTCCCTCACCAAAAACAACTGAAGGAGCCCAAAGGTGCCTCTTTCGCACTGGTGATGGCGACAAAAGCCCACCCCTGCTGCCTGCAGGAGGGTCTTGCACATGGCCACTTCAAGGACTCATCGTTTTCTCCCCTCAGCCTTCATCATTGCTCGGTTCTTCCCCGTGACCTCCCCCTGCTGCTCAGGGCTTTCTGATGGATTTGTAGAAAGGAGGTGCAGGAGGTTTAGTGGAGGACTGTTAGTGTTAGGAAATTCTGTGATTCTGTGACTCTCCTGACCTTCTGCAGGAGGGATTTTGCTGTATGAGCAACAAAATCCTCAATCACAGCACTTCAATTTTTTTTTTATTTTTTTTTCCCTAAAACATCCTTAAATTGCAGGCTCACAAGGGGCTCAGAGGGATAATATTCCTACAGACACCTTACAGGCAGTTTGCAGCCAGCTTAGGACGTAGCTTGAGTGATAACATCCCTTCTGTCATCTTTACAGGTGTAAGAACCAAGCTCAGAGAACACCAAGATCTGTGTTTAAGGAGATGCCAAGATGTGATCAAAGATGAAGACATGAAGGTGATGCCCAGCTGACAGCAAGAAGCTGAAAGCAGTCATTTATTTGTAATACCTTGCTGCTACCCAGTAAAATGCGGTGCTCCCGTAGCTGACAGCTGCGGTGTCCAGAAACTGGCAGGTGGGGGAATTTGTGATGCCCCCGTTGATGGGGTTTGCTTTATAGGTGAAACAGGGAGAGCTTTACAGAAGGAACGTAGCACACAGGCAGGAGCAGCACAATGAGAGCCCTCTCGTTGCAGTGCTGACATTGCTAGGAATTTTCCAGGTGCATGAATTTAGGAAGGAAGGCCTCAGTTAGCTTCCAAGCTTTCCTCTCTGCTCTCTTTGAAGGTATCTGGCTGTGAAACCGGAGCTCAGACCTGAGGTAGGGGTTGCTGCAGGCAGCTGGGTGATGGTCGGTGAGCATCGTGCCCTGCAGTGCCTGGATGCAGACTGGCTGCTGAGCCCTGTGCCCTGCAGCACGGTGCCAGCTGAGGCTGGCAGACTGCGGACTGGAAACGTGGCACGAGGGGTGTGTAGGGACAGGCAGGAGCCACCCCAACCCCTCCTGATGTTGGCATCGGGGCTAACGAATCAATTATAGCTCAAAAGCCTGTAGACCCCCCTGTGCAGTGGGTTTTATGCTGGTTAATTGCACCTGGGATGTCAGGCTGCATCTGAAAGCAGCAGAGCACGCGGGGAAGGACGCAGAGTGATGCTGCCAGGCTCTCTGCTCACCCTTTCACACCACACCTCTCATCCCTGCACGTCCCAGGCCACGTTCACGCAGCGCTGTGCTGGGCAGGATGCATTGCCAAGGAGGGGCTCCCCGTGAACGGGGGGCTGGCTGTGGGCAGCAGCAGGTGCCTGCAGCCCCATCCCTGCACCTCCTTTCTCCAAATCCATCGGAAAGCCCGAGCAGCAGGGGAAGAACGAGCAACGATGAAGGCTGAGGGGAAAAAACGATGAGTCCTTGAAGTGGCCATGTGCAAGACCCTCCTGCAGGCAGCGAGGGTGGGCTTTTGTCGCCATCACCAGTGTGAAAGAGGCACGTTTGGGCTCCTTAGTTGTTTTTGGTGAGGGAGGGGTGTCTCCAGTCATGTCCCCTCCCTAAGAGGAGCCTCTCTGGATTGACAGAGTGAGTGTGAGCAGCCAGGTATCAGCAATCGAGGGGGAGTCGAGGCAGATGGATCACATCCCTTCTTGTTTTAAGCCTTGTGCTTCAGGACGGAGCCGAGTTCAGCAGCAGTGACTCTGTAACATCAGAGCCCGTGACGAGAGCCCTGGGGAAGGCACAGGGGGTGCAGGTGGATGCAGAGCTGCAGATCGTGGCATCGTACGAATCCCGTGGTAGAGGCTGGCTCAGGAGATGTGTCAGCTGTAGAGCTCAATCTTTTCCTCAGTGACTGCGTGAGCTGCTTGCACTTTCTTTTCTGAAGGCTTTACAGCTCACTCAAATAACACCTGCTCCTTTGTTTGAGGAGGCGCAGGGGAGGAAGAGCTTTTTGAGCATCTTTAGTTAGCAGCTTGTCCTACAAGCTCTGCTCAGGGTCCTTCAAATCTGCAGATGTTTCAAGGAGAGGACAGCTCACTTAGCTCAGAAGCAGGGAATCAGAAACTTCTTTAAACCGTTCACAGTGTCCCTGCTGGGCATCCCAGCCTCTCTTTCCCTTCTTTGGGTTGCCCTCTCGGTTTGTCCTGAGCACATTTTGTACCGTGTAACCCTTGGATCTCTTGGTTCCTAGAGCAGCCAGACGTGGCACTGACATCTTTAAGCCCCAATTCCTGTCCCTGGTTAATTAACTGCAGTTGTTGCGTTGCTTTCCTGCTCGTTCTCCTGCAGCCCCAGTGAGCTCTCTGCGTTCAAACGGGGATCTCCAGCAGCCTCCCACCCCCGTGCCAACTTTGTCTCAGCACCAGCAGTGCTCAAACCCTCAGATCTCAATCCTCGTGGGACTGCAGCTGTGCCAAGGAGGCTCTGTGGGAGAGGCTTTAGGTTTTGGGGCTAGCCCCAGACAGGCGGAGCACTGCCTGACAGCCCGGGCTACAGGATTGTGGCAGCACGGGGCACATCACGTTGGCCAAAGCTGTGCAAAGCACTTGTGTGCGAGGATAAAATGTCAGAGCAGTGAGGACACAGCGAGGGATGCTCCTGGGGAGGCAGCAGTTTTGTGGGTTTTGTAAAACAGCTTTGCAGGAATGGAGTTAAGGCTCTATAGAGCAAACATCCATCTCAAATGAAGGCAGCAACTCCAAGCCGATAATGCAAGGGGTGCTCGCAGGGGAGACGAGAGGCCTGAGCCTTTCATCTGCGTGGTTAGAGCTGACCGTCGGGCGAGCTCAGACTGCTTTGGCTAAGCACAGCCTGGTGAAGTGGGGGTAACGGCTGGACTCGATGTGCCTGGAAGCAGCAGCTCACCTTGAGACTCCTTTTTTTTCTTTACAGTGTGTGTTCGTGTAGTTCTGTCACTCCGTATTTCTCTTCTGTTGTTTAAATGCACTTACTCAGTCTCTCTTTATTTGCCCGTTAATTATTACAAGGAACTAAGAGCAGTTTTTCTCTCAATTCTCTCCTTCCCAGCTTGTTTGTAGATTAGCAAAGAGTTTTTCATTCTCCTATTTTTATTTTATTTTATTATTATTTTTTTTTTCTCTCCAGGCTTTTATCAGTCCCTTGGCAAGGATACCAGAGCACCTTCCCAGCCTTTATCTCATCCACCATTCCTAGCACGGGGGAGTGTTACTGGGCCCATCCTGCGAGTCCCAGGGAAAATAATTGTAGAGAGCTTGTTTCAAGGCTGTGGCAAACTGCAAGCTAAACTCTGGCATCCTAAAGCCCAGGCTGGTGTGTAAGTCACTGCCTTTTCCCTTACCCCTTGCCTCAAACTCTCGTTTATATTTTCACATTGATTTTTAGCTTTTCTGAAGCTAGGAAGTGAAGAAAGAAAGAAGCACTAATAAGTCTGACTAGAAATACTGTTTTATTTTTATCCCAGTTGTTGATTTGCCAGTGTCATAAGGAAATATTTACACCAAGTACACAGCTAGAAAAACCCAGAACTCTCATTTAGATCGGTTGATATGTCCCAGGTTGTTATGCTAAAAACCCTGCTTAACCAAAACAAGTAGCAAAGACTTATATTTTTTACCTACTCAACCTATTTATTCCAGAAAGAAAGAAAAGCTCCCATTCCGTGCTCAGGCAAAACTGCTGAAATCCATGGAAGTGGGGCTAGCAGCAGAACAAGGACAGCAAGAGGGAAACAGTAAGCTTCAGCTTACGGGACTGTAAAACCATGAAGAGCAAGGCCCATTAATTTGTATTTACTTTCTCAGTGTGACCTTGTGTTGTATTAGACAGAGACTCTAGGAGATGCATGGCACCCCAAAAAGAGGGTATAGGAACTGAGATGGCTCCAGAGTGATTTCCAAAGAAAGCAAATTCAAATTTTGCTGCGTTTTGGCTGTTGTTGGCATCAGGACTGCCAACAATCCTGTATGTTGGCATCAGGACTGACCTGTTTCTTCTGCCTGAACCCCAGCTCTGTCATTGGGATTAAAGGCAACATTTGGCCTTGGGAATCACTTTGCGAACCTCAGGTTGTGGAAGGAGCTGTGCTTTGGCACGCAGTTCACAGAGGAAGTGCCTGCTTGCCTTCCGCGTGTCCCTGCTCCATCTGGACGCTTGTCTCTTCAAATTTCTCAGGATAAGAGTGCATGAGAAGTTGCAGCCATACAGATCGTGTAGGTGATGGGCAATTGCTCCCAGAAGGGGATCCAGAAGCCAAGAGGTGCAGGTGCTCATATCTGCTGGCTTGGCACCTTGGGATTCATTTTGGGCTTCCCGTTTGCAGGTCTAGAGAGAGAAACGTTTGTGATTTATTTGACATGAAACAAACAAGAAGGCAATTGCTGTAACACTGCTGATCAGCTCCCTTGGCCTTGGTCTGCAGCTGGGATCTCAAAGAGCAGGCTGGGACGTGTTCCAACAGCCCCTTCAGTAGCACGGTTTAAGATAAGCTGCTAACCATTTTTTTTTAAATTATTAATTTTTAAACAAGCTTTATTTTGGTTTGTTTTAAAATTTACCTTTAACCTTTGCACATTCCCATGCTCTCACCAAGCCTTTGCACTGTCAGAAAGGCGAGGAGCCTTGTCCCCCTCCCTCTGCTAACACAACGCTGCCCTGAAAGCAAGGCTGAGGGCTTTGGGGAGGCAGGGGAGATGCTGCCAGTTCATGAGGACTGCTCTGGTTGCTTGTTAGGAGGCTTTACAGGCTCCATGCGTGCTCCCAACGTGACAGATGTTACTGGTCCCCTGCAACTGATAGCTTTATGATTTAATGAGTTGAAGATTTGGCATCTGTTTTCACTGAAGACTGATTTGTGGTGGAAAACAAACGCTTCAGGTGCCAGAAGGAATCCCAGGCCAGCTCCTGAGGTGCTCTTTAATTGAATGAATTGTGCTGTGACCTTCCAGGGAGCTTCATTTCAATAAGTGGCAACTGCTATCAGCAGCAGGGGTTTCCTCTCTAAATAAAAGCTGGGATACGCTGCAGTTGCTTAAAACATAACCCTGTCATGTCAGCAGTGCCAAAGGAAAGTTGTCCTCGGTGAGATGATTTCCTCAGGCTCTTGGAACCCAAGCACTCCATCAGTGGGAACATGAAGAGCTCTACAGTCGTGCAGGATGATTTTCCTGAGGGAGAAAACCTCTCTGCACAGGGCTGGCAGCAGGAATAGAGATAAGCGAGGAATGCAGGCACTGGCCTAAACGTTAGGAGAAGAGTCTTCGTTACGATTTAGCCCTTGGAAAGCCAGGCAAAGATCAGAAATATGCTGGGCTGGGTGTGGAAAATAGGCTTTGTAAAAGCCAGGGGCCCTTCCCTTGGTGTTTCAGCCTGGCCAGAGAGAAAGCAGCTCTGGAGGTGTGATGTCCTGTGTGGTCACAGGGTACGTGCAGAAAATTGCACCCAGAGATCAGGAGGCACTGCCACTCCGTGCCAGCTCCATAACATGTTCTTGTTATGTTATTGTTATAACATGTTCTTGTTATTCAGGCACTCATTTCTGCTGCTTTCTCTGAGGTTCATGCAGTTAAAAATTAAATAAATCTGTAGGGATGCATTTTCTGTAAATGCAAGGGGAGGGAGTTTTTTTTTCCCTCTTAGTAGTAGCTTTTTGAGTGATTGTATTAATTTATTTGCGTAACTATAACATGGTTTTTCTGTTACTGTGAAACCTATGGCTGTGTAATAAGGAACCTGCATTTACCTTGGTTGCAAATGCTTGATTTGCAAAGAACGAGGCTGTGGTAGTGTGAAATTACTGCCCCAGCCTTTCTTGCAACCCAGTTTTTCTACCGCTAGGCTGGTGCTGGGGCAGCAGCAGGGATCCCGTGCTCGAGCTCTGCTCTTTGTGCGAGCCCTAGGGCGCAGCCTCAGCACGGGGCTTGCAGAAGCACACGGGTGGTTTTCTGCAGCGTGGGCTGGGTGAAGAAACCAGCTGCAGGGAGGGCAGTTTGCAGAAGCAAACCGCGCGGTCCGTGCGGGCAGGAGGATTTCTTGCTTCTACCTGGGAAATTGCTCAGTGCAGGATTGTTACAGTCTGGCCCTGGGGGCTCAGGGTGATGAGTGGAATGGGTAGAGGAAGGAGAAGGCAGAAAAAAGTATTCCTGTCTGCTCAATAAAATAAATTAACTTTAAAGCTTTACTCATCTAACTTGCTGTTTCTTAGGCAAATCATCTCAGGCTGCATGAGCCTTTTCCTTGCTGTTACGTGGTGCCAGTTGGGGACACAGGAGCGTACGGCTGTGGTGCCGCTGCTCCAAAACGGTGCAGAGGGCGTTCTGCTAGCACCAGCATAACCTGTTCATGGTCCATAGATGCAGCTTTTTTTTTGGAGCAGCATGATAGAAATACTCGAGGGTAATGCTAATTTCTGGGAGATGTGCAAAGGTTTTAGACTGCTGCAAATGCCTCCTGTCTCTCTGTTTAATATCTACTGCAGCATCAGCTCTCAGGGATTTGAATCACTTACAAAGCAAGCAGCAGAAGGGAATCTTCTCTGTTTGTACCTCCACCCTTCCCCCCCAGTTACACAGCCCCCTCCCAACCACCCTGCCCTGAATGAAGGCTTTTTAGGTGCTTTTTGACACCTGCTTGCTGTGTCACTACAGGCTGAGGTGCCAACAAGTTGCAAAGTGTCACCAGCTGTCAAGTACTAACCTCTTACACCTGCATCTGCGTCGCCTGGTTTCTAAAATGAAAAAATAAATAAAAAATGTTTTAGTTCAGATACAGCAAGGCACAGCTTCATGAAGAAATGCAGCAGTGGCATCGAGCTGGCGTTCCCTAGCACCCTGCCACCCTTCTGTTGCCTTGAAGGCCGTCAGCAGATAAAGCTTGTTTGGGGGGAAAGCCACACAAGTGAGCAGTGCTGCACGTCCCCCCGACTCTCAGCTCCAGGATCATCCCAAACTAAAGGGTGTTTTCCTGGGAGCAGCAGCAAGAGCAGGGTCATCCTGCCAGTGCTGCCGGGGAATTAGTTCTTGGTCTCTGCAGTGACTTTTTGGCACGCTGCTGAGACTCCGCTGGCAGCAGTTATTTCTACAGCAGGCGAGTGGTGCGGATCCCAAGCTTCTCTCCAGGTGGCTGCAGTCTGCCTCTACACACCACGAGAGTTTCACTGGGCTTGGTTTCACCCTCTGGGCTTCTTCACTGCTCTTACAAATGTGCAGAGGGATGCAGAGACACGGGGCTCTGCCTTCAGCCAGCGTTTGTTAAATACACTGCTGCTTTGTGGCTCTAACCTGACTTAGATCAGCTCAGGATCCATCCCCCTGAACGATGCTCTTCCCCGTGTTAGCATCTGTGTCATTATTTCAGGAAAATACAATGGTGAACCATTCATTTTAGCCCAAAAGGGAGGTGTCTGGATGTAAAAATCCCTCCTGGAGGGGTTTGTGCTGCCTGCTGCAGAAATTAATGCAGCTAATTGGCTGGGGTTCATCAGGGTTTCTTCATGTATTCCTTCCTCTTGCTGTGGGTAGTGGAGATTAGTGTTTTTAGTAGTGTTTTTTGGGGCTAACAGATGCTGAAAAACTGTACTTGTTAAACTGGTAAATCAATCTCACATCAGCGCTGGGCTGTAGGGTCAGTGAGGATGTGGTGAGGTTAATTCAGCAGCAGAGCCTGGCAGTGACCCACACTAACGAGCTGAGCCATGTAATGAAAGGGGTGCAGGTGCTGGGGGTGTCTGGGCCCTTCCCCAAAGGAAAGCTAAACTGATTTCAGCTGGCATTAAACTGATTTCAATCCTTTTGCTCCCACTGCTTGCTGAGGGTAAGTTAAAGACATTTCAGACATGAAATTCAGCTACAGGACTCCTGCCTTCCCAGAGACCTTGCATTACTGCCTGACCTGCACCAGCCTCTGGGGCTGGGCATTCAGTAGCTCAGCTGGCTGTAGCTCCAGCTGCCGATCAGAGTCATTTGGATTTGCAAGGTCCATGCTCAAGCACCTTTATCCTGTTTTGTCAAAGTGTCCTGGTACTTTTGCCCCTCATACCCTGATTTAAGGGTGGTAGGACCGATACAGTTTGGTAGGGTAAGTTTCCTCTTTGTATTCTGTCGTCTTATAGTGTAGGATTTGATGCTTGTTTCTCAAGCTAAACAAACGGGTGAGGAAAATACATAAAAGAAATGTAAGAGTGGCCCTTTTACACTCATTGTGTCCTGGTTACTTGATAGCTAGGTGAGGGGAAGAGCCAGAAAGCCCATTCTGCTGGAGGACCGGGCTCTGCTCCTTGGCCTGAGGCTGCAGGAACATCTGCAGGGGCTTCGGGGTGTGACTTACTTTGGCACAGCACGATGGTGATGACCAGGGCAATGAGAAGCAGCAAGCAGGCAGCAGCCAAAGGAACCCAGATGAAAATCTCACAGAAGAAATTCAGCTCTTTCTCCTTGCTTGTCTCTGCAGGAATAAAAGAGATAAAAGAGAGAAAGGTCCTGCAGGCACTCACGGCTGGGGTTACTGCTGGCCCTGGCGGAGCCACCTGGGGGCCCAGCAAACAAAGGGACCCGTCTGGCTCTGAGGGAGGCTGGCAGGAGCTGTAGGTGATGAGAGGCAGCTGAGGGAGCCAAAAGTCATCTTGTGTCTCCAGCTGAGGTTAAAACCAGTGCTAGCCCAGAGGGCTTGCTTTCTATTTGGAGTGCCCAGCCATCAGGCAGGCTCATGCTTTGTAAGTCATCCCAGGTGGGGTGAAATCAGAGCTTGGAGTCCCTGAACCATGCAGTCATCTAGGTTGGAAAAGACCCTCAGGATCACCAAGTCCAACCATCAGCCTGACACACCAAGTCCCAGCACCAAACCATGTCCCTTGGTGCCACATCCATGCACCCCCTTTATCCCCCCCCAGGGATGCAGCTCCCCAATTCTGGCAGAACTCAAAGGATCCCCGCCCATCCCAAAACGCCAGCAGTCACTAAAGGCATTGAGCTGAGTTTTCGGACCCACAGCAACCCCTGTGGCAGAGCCCCCCTCCCTCCCTCTGCCTCCCCTGGGTTACCTGCCTCGTGGCTCTGCAGGCAGACGTCCCTCTTGGTGACCTGGCTGCCCTGGGTGGTGGGGGGCACGGTTTTGACGGGTGCCACTGTCGTTGTGACTGTAAGTGACAGGGGGTGAATGTAGCACACAGCGAGACAGAACGAAATAGCTCACCCCCAGCCCTGCTGGGGAACGGCTGCTCCTGTTGCCAGCTTGGGAGGTCTTTGTAGGGCCCGTTTTGGGACTGCGATGCCCCGACGTGTCCCCCTGGGGTGAGCTTGTGTTGCCGAGCTGCAGGCTGATAGCTGTGGGCTCCTCATTTCTTGCTTTCTGCCACCACTTCTCAATTTCTGAGCTCTTATCTTACCTCATCTGTAGCTCTTAGGACACATGTCCTGACTGACCTGTTGTTTTTTTCTTTCCTCAGTCCAACCTCCAGCCTCACCCGTGAGTTTCCGTTTGAGGTGCTGTAAGCGCTCAGAGGTTGGAAGGACTTTTAGGGCCGAGGCAAAGTGAGGAAGGAGGGGGTGGTTGTGGACTTTTTTTACTCTTATCCCCTCAGCCACCAGTGGCATGGGGAGGTGCTGCTGGGTCTGCTCGACCACCTTCATCTTTGGGCAGGGATGAGCAAGCAGAGATGGTGAGCAGGGAGCCTCCAGCAGGAGGACCAGGGCTTTGGGCACAAGATGCCTTGGGCAAACCAGGAGGGAGATGGGGACTGGGGGCAATACAACAAGAAAAGAGGCATGGGCAGGGGTGCTGGGTGTAAGTGAGGTAGGTGAGGATGTTGCTGACCTGGGAAGAAGGCGGGTAGGCCAGAGCTGAAGTACAGCTGTTGGTTGTAGTTGACGGTGCAGAAATAGGTCCCCTCATCCTCTGCCTTGAAGGACTTCACTGTCAGCCGATAGGATTTGCCACTCTTGAACGTCCCAAAATGTGAAGGCATCATCTGGTTCTCCTTAAAGGTTGGCTTGGACAAGGTGGAAATATAGACGATGAAGTGAAGGGTCCCAGACTTGTCCTGGCGGATCCAGGAGACGCCACTGTCTACAGAACTCTCACATTCCAGCTCCAGGGGCTTTCCACTCTGGGGGTGCGTGGTCTTGCTGTTGTAGAACTTGGCCGTCACCATGCTCTTCTGGCCCTGGGCTCCAGGGCAGCCTGCGGGGGGACAAGTCCACCATCACCCTTCACAGCCTGCTCGGGAAGGGCAGCTTCGCTCCAGGCAAGCTCAGGGGCTGCTCCTGGGGGTCTTTGGGCAACCCCAGGGCTGGTACCCGGGTCCTGAAGGAGGACACGAAGGGTGGAGTGCACCGTCTGGCACGCTTGGGTGGCTTGGTTGAGTCCCTGTGGGACTCAGTATTCTGCCACCAGGGCTTTAAGACAGATGCTGCCCTTCAGAATACTTTTCAGCTGCATTCTCGGGGGTGGTAACATTTCCTTGCTAATCTGAAGGGATTCCCTAATAACAACTGCTATTTTTTTTTACCCTTTCCCCCTTTTTTTTTGCCATTCCCTGTCCCCTCCAGCAACACCTGTCCGAGCGGGCTGTGTTCCCGCTGCATCACGCTGCAGTCACATCACTCCTGCTTTCCTTCCCTCCTCGTTCACTGAGCAGCCCTGATCGTTTGTCTTGTGGGCTTGCTCTTCATTTTCCCCATTGGTCATTTTCCCCAATTCCTTGGATTCCGTGACAGGTGAACGCCTTAACCCCTTTTACTCGCTCCCCATGGAAAAGGTGGCCAAGAATCCCAATCCCATACTCACAGAGCCCCAGGCTGAGCAGGAGGAGCAGCGCAGGAGATGCGTCCGTCATCCTCGGGGACGAGGCAGCGGAGCACAGATGATCTTTCTCGCTTGCCTTCGGAGGCTGTGCAGCTTTTTGGAGAGGATGTGATGTCACCAGGACCCTCTTAAGCGAAGAGCCGGTGTTCAGCATCTGAGGTGAAATGAAACAAGCAATGATTTCTGAAGAAATTCATTTCTGTTCCAGAAGTTGGGCTCATTTGTCTTTATGGCATTTATTTCAATGGTGCCTTGAGGATTTCACTGTGGCAACTTCACTAGAGATTCAGAGTCACAACTTGTGGGCTTGAAATAGGATCAGCCACCACAGACTGCTGTCTCCCAGCCATTTGGGTCACTCACATCAGGTCCAGCTCTGCAGAAAACGTGGGTGAGTGCCATGCCATGGACACAGGCCTTCACTTGTGTGTGCTCAAGCAGCCTGGTGTAGGTGGAAGAGCTTTTTTATGACAGAGCAAACAAGATGCTGGAATGTTTTTCATCATATATTCATTTATAGGTCTGTGTATATATATCTATATCTATATCTATGTCCAAGCCCATGCATTGCTGACATGTAGCTGAGTCTTTCAGCCCCATTGTTCTCTGCAACTGTTCTTTGCTCTGAAAAAGCTGCTTTGTGCAAGGCAGGTGGTCGCAGATGCAAAACCCATCAAGAAAGCCCTGTGCCCCAGTGGCATGCATTCTTTTTTTTTTTTTTTTTTTTTTTGAGCATCTCGTGGTTTTCAACTCCAACCGCAGGGACTTCCGTACTGCCAAAAAAAACCTTTACACGCTTCAGCATTCAGGGCCCTTGTTTTTGCCTCCAGGTGACCACTTGCACATTGGGAGGGTTGGGCTTCCTGGTATTTGCACATAGAGTAGCAACAGCTTCACCAGGCTGCTGGTGTTTTTTACGGGTATTTCCTGGCCTTCCTACGTTTTTTTTGTTAAAGTTATTATATCTCACAGGTAACCAGTGATAGGACTGGAGGGAACGGCCTGAAGTTGTGCCAGGGGAGGTTCAGGTTGGAAATGAGACATTTCTGCTCAGAAAGTGCAGTCAGGTTCTTTGGTTCTTTTTTCAAAACAGAAAGAAAGCAGGTTTCGTCAATTAAATAACATTACAAGGGTCTGAATCTCGAAATCCCATCAAGCAAACATGAATTTCAGGCCTGAGGTAAAGAAATCTCTTAGGACTCTGGCCATCTCTGGATGTGACTTCTAAGTTATGCTGTTTGTGTAGGCCCCTTCTGTTTTGGGGGGCATTTTTCTCCTTAACCTCATTAAGTTATTCTCCTTTCTCCTTAAAGTTATTCTCCTTAACCTAAGTGGAATCCATGCTGCCTTTATAATGGGATAAGCTGCTCTTGGGAGGTGCCTGGCTTCACTGCCTAATGGAGGAGCGTAGGCCAAGAACTCCACTTCTCCACTTCAGGGGCCAGGAACTCCACTTCTCCACTTAAAAGTGTTATTTTATTACGGGTCAGTCCCAGATACCGAATAGGAGCCCGGTTTCCTCTCATAAAGACAGCTTAGGACCTTCAGCTTGGTCCTCGTGGCTGACGGACTGAGGTGGTTTCCACACGAGGCCACCTCTTCCTGCCTCGTGTTCAGGCCCTGGGCCCCGTGTCACCACCCAGAGGACTCCTTTTCCTCCTCGTATTTTTATTTGCTGAGGCTCTTTGTGACTCACCCCTACACAAAAGGTACCAGCAGCCCTGCCTCTTCTGATGCTGCCCATTGTGCAGCACGGGATGAAGGCCGCAGGGCTGAGTAACAGGAGATGGTTTCAGGGGAGCTAGTCCTTTCTGCTGCCTTCATTAAGCTGCTAGCGAGTATATTCCTTTAATGCAAGACAAAAGCTTATTGTCAGTGGGGAGAGAGATGTCAGCAGGCTGTCACGAGTCCTTTCCCAGCTGGGACACCCTTCATCAGCCACAGGGGTACACAGGAAAGCGTAGCTCTGAAGGAGACGTCTGTGTGTGATCAGATGAAGCCACCCCTCTTTTGTGCCTCCATCTCATGTCTCCTCAATAACAAATTACCCAGGGGCAGGGATCATCTTTTTCTGGGTCCTGTGTTTACATATACCCTGGCACAAAGCAATTTCTCCTTTCTACAATAACGAATAAGAACAACCAGAACAGTTGCAGTGGCAATTACTTCAGTATGAAACACTCCAGGCACACAAACAGGACCTCCAGGAAAAGCTGTTATTTAAAAACAAGCACGTGTATAAAGAATTTAGATCCGCAGCGTGGTGGCATGCTCAGATCTCAGCCGTGTTGAAGTGTCTGCTGTGATGCTGAGGCTTGCAGACCTCCTGAGATCAGCACTGAACGCCCGTGGGTGCAGTCGGGCAAAAAGGCAGCAAATTTAATCAAGCAGCTTGAACTAAGCAGAAAGTATACCTGTGTTGTACACTCTGACCTACTCTGAAAGTGGGGGTGAGGTGGTTAATGACATTAATTAAGGAATCCCTGGGGCGTTCGCATGCTCAGGTTTGACAGGTTGTCCTCTGGAGGATATTTTGCAATGGACTTGTTGGATTGAGGACAGCAGTCCAATCAGTGAAGTACCAGCATTACTAATGTGCTTTATTAATAATTTCTGTTGTACTGCCACACTTATGATATGCCTGAGGAAGAAGAAATATCAGACAGCCAGTTACTTCTGCAAAATGTTGTGTAAGAGATGTGAGGAGACCAGACCAGGTTGGTTAGACAGTAGAAAGCAGATTTTTTTTTTTTTTCTCCCATACCTCCCAGTAAGTTTCAGTTTACTTATAGCTAAAGTTGCAGGGCTCTGATTGCTGGTGAGCTCCAGCCTAAGCTGCTTATCTTTAAATACTAAGATCAGCCTAGATTAAATTTTGATGTTTCAGATCCGCTAAGCCCTGCTGGGTCCTCACCTGCCAAACCAGGTGCGAGGGGTCTGGCACCCCATGGCATAACACAGCCTGAATCCAGACACAGACACCTCCATGCAGAGAAAGCATGGGGATAGTGGAAGAGGAAACCAGCTTTATCAGTGTAGGGGATCTTCATATCTGATAGGGTTGTTCCCTCAGGATTCAGTTTGTGAAGCAGAAGCTGTTTGCCTTGCCCTTGTTTTCAGTGACAGACTGGATTCACTGGAAGAGGTGCAATTTTGGTTAGAGCAACTAGTAGAGTTGGAAAACAGAGATGAATTTCCAGGTATGCAGGTCCTTCTTCCCTTCAGAAATGGCAAGAGTAAATGTGTGTAGGGACTGGGAAGAAAATTGGTCTGTATTTTATTTATGTCAAACAATTAAATAGAAGACGTGAAAAAAGAGAGAGGAGACAGTCATGCAGGGAAGAGACAGACTGATGAGGACCTGCATTTTTGGAATGGGGTTCAGCAGGAGGCTAGTTTAGGATTAATTTTCTCTGTGCTTGCTGAGGAGATTTCAGCTGGAAAAGCTAGGAGAGATTTCCTACCGCAGCCTCTGGTCAGACACAAATTTATCTCAGTGGATTTTGGAGGGGGCTTTTAAATGGGAAACTTTTTGTGCTTTTTGAAAACATCAGTGGAGTAGGTTGTTGCATGTAAAGTCTCCCTGTCCTTATGGAAATTAAATGAAATGTTAGTCTGAAACAGTTTAAAATTACAGAGAAGGGATTGTGAGTGAGAGGGAGCTCGGGGCATCAGAGCTGGAACAGGTACTGAGTTTTGGATATGACTGATTTCTTAGGCATCTCGTGGAAGGATCAGTTCTCCAGCACATCAGTGACTTTTTCATAGTGATAAGAAACTCTTCAGCTGCTTTGGATCAGTAATATTCCACATGGTACTGATCTCTAACAGCACTGTGTAGCTGGAGCACATCTCGGGATGTGGGAGCTGTGCTGTGAGGAAGGCAGGCACACAAGGAGCATCAGAATGACCGTGCTCCACCAGGTCTGCTGTTTCTGCTGCTCATGATATCTCACCACAGTGCTTCAGGAGGACACCTCTGTGCAGCCTGCAAAGCAAGGATGCAACGTGGCTGGCTTATTACAAGTAGGTGCTGCTTGGTCCCTGCAAGTGATCAGCTTGTGGTAACTCAGAGTGTGATGGCTGGTCGTGTTTAGCCATTGCTGATTCTTCCTGTTGTTAAAATTAGAACTCTTGAGCTCTTCGGTAAGGAGGAATGGAAAGTTTTAATTAAGATTTCAGAATTTAGTCTCAAATCACAAACTTTTGTTTCAGATGCAGGGAAAAAAAAAAAAAAAAAAAGTTGAGACCTAAACATACAACTTTTCCGGTGAGAAATGAAGCTGTGGTTTACGAGCAGCTTGCTGCACCCTTTTCTTTGCAAAGCTGCAGCACTGAAGAGCTCTGGAGAATGTCAAGTGCAGTGCTCACACACCATCTTTCCACTGTAGCTGCATGTTTCCAGTGCAGTGGCCAATACTGCACTCTATTCTGGATACTCCTCATGTAAACATCACATGCCGTAAAATAGATTTTCCTCAAAATACAGTTTGCAAACCATAGCTGCTCCTGCACGCTCATCTCTCCAGGTGCAGCCCTTTAACCTGATCACTAAGTCAGAAATCTCCATAACCCCAGTGCTCGTTGGTACCTGAGCTGAGAGCTTGATACAAGACCAGAATGTGTTCAGGCTTTGCTCTGGGCACCTGCCTTGCTTTGCACAGGCATCCTGCACCTGCTGCAGAGCTGGGGCGTGCAGACACTTGGTAAATCAGCAACCAACGACGCCATCTTTTGGGGACAGGTGACAATTCACTGCTACAGAAAGCAGGGTGATTTTGCTGCAGCTGGATTTTGGGGAGAAAGGTTGGTTTTCTGCAGCTCCGATTCCTTGCATAGCACAGCAACCTGAGGTTCAGTCCAGAACTGCAGAAAGGCTTCACATCTCCTAGCACCTCTCCTTGGAAGAAAAGCTGATGATCAATATTGCTCCAGTACACCAGATTTTGTCTGAAGAGCAGTCCCAGTCTTTAACTGGTGAACTGGGCTCATGATCCCACTTCTAATTCTCATTTTCTGTTGCAGTTCCCATCCCCACAACCACATTTCTGTTGTTTTTGAGGCACCGTGTAGCTTCAGGCTTCTAGTTCAGCCCCCTCTTACCCCCCCAGCTCTCATAGCCTTGGTGTTATCCCCACAGCCTGCCTTCTCCCGTCTCCATCAGTTCAGAGTCTTGTCTGCTTCCTTGGTGCTTGCTGATTATTTTTCCTGAAGACCTTGGGCAGGAATGCCTCGTGGAGATACCCCAAGGAGCTTCTGGGGCTGTTTGTGCAGTGTGGGAGGACTTTCACAGACTGCTCTGGGAAAATACTGCTGGTACACGTATCTGGTATTGCTGTGCATCTTCCCTGTCAACATCTCAGAGAGGGAACTTTAATTTCGGGGGCTGGTTACAGCTAGGGGAATGGAGTTGGTCCCATTTCTGATTTTCCACCCCTCCTGATGGCAGTGCTGGCTGTATGGAAACCCATGGCTGGGTCGACTTTCTTCATCTATTCTGTGGTCCTATTACTAGTGTTGGCTGGCTTGTACCTCTTGGTATTTCTTCTAGATTTTTGCATTTACTTGGAAAAAAAAAAAAACAGCAGCACACACACTACACACACACAAAACCCCTCACTGTAGAATTAAAGCTGTGAAGACACAACCCTCAGACAGGATATCTTACCCAAAAGAAACAGGGGGGTGCGAAGAGGTCGGTGTATCAAGAAGCAGCAGCTGGGTTAATGTGCCCCTTGCCATCATCAAAACAAGCTGAATTCGGTGCTAAGTTTCACTTTCGACGGCCTGAAGCCCACCACAGCTGTGAAGAGAAGCGTTTTATTGCTGGTTTTGCATGCCTGCTCTCCTAAAAGTGCTGCTCTCGCTGTGTTTGTGATGTAGGGCTATGATAGCCCTGTAACAATTCACATTTAAGACACAAACTGCAAATATTACCTCTCTGCATGTTAATTTACTCGTATTTATGCCTTGTAAATGCAGAACCATTTCCATTCAGGAGTGGAAATTTGGGTTAAGACTGATAAACATCAATTCAATGCTCGGCACCAAAACCAAATCATATGGTAGCAGGTAGGAAAGGAATTGGGTGTAAAATAACAAAGCTGTGTCCTTGTGTGGTCCAATCCGGGGCCCAATGCACCAAATAAATCCTCGAATGCTGTGGGCTGGCCTCAGTCTGTCTCGAAGAGGGGACTCGAAGTAGTAATAGGGCCAGAATAGGGCAAAAAGGAGGGTCAGGCACCTGCGGGGGATGTTGTGTGGGCAGGCTGGGCCTCCTTGGCCCCAAAATAGCTGATTTTAATGAACGTTCACTACAGGTCTCCAGAATCGTGACCGGCAGGAGGGAGCAGGGAGGGGTTGATTGCTCCCTGCCTCTTTATTAGCTGTCTGCGTGGAGGCACAGTAGTCTTTGCTACCTTTGTACCTTTGCTCTACCCCAAACCCGTCATTTTTATGCTCTGAAACACGAGACCTCATGTAAGTGTGTAATTTTAGGGAAGCCATTTGCTACCAAGCTCCACTTCTTTTTTTTTTTTTTTTTTTTTTTTTTTCCTCTGAACCACTGTTATTTCTCCAGTTAATTATCTCATCCTTCAGGGCAGCACAGTTAAACCTTCCTGAGCTGCTGGCCTGGCACGAGGACGTGTATCCCCGGGGAGGAACCAGTGCTGCATCCCTCTCCCAGCATCTCTGAATCCCTGGCAGTGAAGGAGCAGGGCAGGGTCCAACTCCTTCATGTGGTTATGGTTGCACAGAGGAAGAAATCATCTGGGTGTGTACGTGTTTGGTGTATAGGGCATGAACATGCACTGCCTGTGCCTTCCCAACCCATGTCTCCAGCAGGGTAAGGTGGCAGAGAACGGGTTGGGGATAGCTAAAGCTTCACGTGGCCCATGGCTCCTGCCCTGCAGGGCATCAGCCTTCAGCCCTGCAGGCTGGGGAAATGGAGTGAGTGTGTTCCCAAAGAGAGGCACGTCTAAATTACACCCGAGCTGCCCTGGGCATGGCAGCGATGGGTGAGTCAGACGCCAGCAGACCGACCTGAGGGAGGGGGTGTGTTGCAGAAATGGCTTTTCCACTGCTGCTCAGACTCATTTCCTCTTGCACCAAGATGACTCGAGACATATTTTAATAACAGCACGGTCATCTGCTCGCTGCTTATTGCTCAGGGCAGGAATATGCAATCCCAGACCCCAGGAATATGTTGCCTTTTTTTTTTTTTCTTTTTTCTTTTTTTTTGGAGAGACCACTAGGAAATATCCCAGCTTGAATTCTGCATTCGGTGCTGGTGTTGTTAAGGCACGATATTTTAAAGCCCTCTAGCTGGGTGTAAGCCCAGCCCAGCATCTTTCCCCGAGACCTCAGCCAGCGAGGTCACCTCGTGCTTGCAGCAGACAGAGATTGCACCTTGAGCTCTGCTGAGGATGGGTGCTGGTTCCCCCTGGGACCTGCAGGGCTGAGCGAGGGGACAGGACCCCCCCACCCCGGCATCTGCTCCAGCAGTGGTACCTGGAGAGACATCAATACGGTGAGACCTGCCTTGGGCAGCAAGATGAGGATGCAGAAGATGGTGCAGAAGAGCCCCCGGCTTCTCTGAGGATGCTCCAAGGGTCCCCAGCACTTCGTGTTGGACATATCGTGGAGGTGAGCACCAGCCCTTGGCTGGAGGGTGGTTTTCCTGTCCTGTTGCAAATATTTACAGCATGGGGAGAGTTTTGTTGCATGTGGAAGAACCCCTGGGACGGATGTGTGTCACGCAGAGGTAAGTAATCTCTCCCGTTGGCAGGGTATATGCAAAATGTAAAATATGTAAATAAGCAAAATATGCAAAATGCAGATTTTATACACTCATTTTTAACTAAATCTGATATGTACTCCACTTAAATGACTGCTGAGATACCAAGTCTGCATGTATCAATGTACTCAGTAATATCTGCAGCTTCTGTGCGACCTCAGCATTCTGGTGTACTGAAGGAAGCGTTGTAAGGTCCAGGTAAATACAGGCCACGAGTACTCAGGCTGCTTGGAGCAGGTTTTTATGTTCCTGCAGCTATAACATTTGTGTCTGCAGCAACAGCACTTGGGATTTGCTCGTTTTGGGAGTGCTGGAGTGCCGACAGTGCAGACCAGCTGCAGAAGAACGGGAAAGAGAATGGCAGAGGAGGAGGGAACGTGACCCAGCACCCCCATCTCTGCTCCTGAGATCAGCTCTCCCCTGGGCTCCGTGTTTGCATTAAGGAGGCAGCTGAGATATGGAGGCAGAGAGCTGCAGCCTTGGCAGCCTCGCCAGACACCAGCGTTTTCCCCAAAAAGCATTTCTCAGGTGTCCTGCGCCATTCTGCAGCGCTGCTCCTGGTCCCTCTCATTCCTGAGTTCACTGTCACAGCCAAATTTTTCTCCTGTTTTTTTCTAGAGGTCTGTCAAAACATATTTAACTATCAACGTATATAAAACCATACATGTAGCACTACACGTACAGTGGACACCGAATGGATCTGGATGCTCAGAAGTCCTGCTGTGAACCTGTTGTCCCTGTGGTGAGGAGATGTGCAATCACCAGTGATCCCCACACCTTAAAATCATAACGACAAACCCAGTGCTGCCAATATTCGATGAGCAGCTGAGATATTCTGTAAAGATTGACAATATATTTTTAATTAATCGACAAAAGCTTTACAGAAGCAGTAACAATATTCCCTGCAATGCCTAGCCTGTGTTTCTGCTCTATTTAATGGCTGCAAGATTAAATGGCTGAATGGCTGCATATTTAGTGAAATAATAACTCTATTTTTTTTTTCTAGTATAAGAAGGAATAAAACATATTCAGTCTGTGACGGATCCTTGCAGTGTGTCATTTCTGACCTCTTTTACAATTCCTTGCCCACTGATTGATGGGTGTGGGCTCAAGGTAGGGAACTCTGTATGAAAACCCACAGATCTACCAGTCTCCTTGTCCTGTCCGAAGGCACTTTGTCCTTGTAAGACCTCGTGCTGTGTCTCCTGGTATCGTTTGTGTGACATTGTTTAGCTGCTGATTGAGAGCTTGGGGCTCTCTGTATAAAATCCCATTATTTTTCCCTTCTCCTGGCAGGAGGAGGGGGCAGAAGGCTGGCAGCTCCTTGGGAGGAAATACAGAAGGAGGAAGAAATGAGGGAGGACATCACCCTGGGGTACCATACACACTCTGATACCATTTCTGTGTCTCTTCCTCCTCCCCACGGACCTGGCTTTGCGGCTGGCTCGGGCTCGCTGCCATCAGCAGTGGCCCCGTGGTGTTATTCCGTGGGGTTTCACCACCAAAATGCCCCCCTCCCTGCTGGCCTCGCAGCACCCTGAGCTTTGGCTGCTCTTGTCGTTGTGCTTTCCACAGCGAGGAGGGTAGGAAAGGAACAAAAAAAAAAAAGCTGCAAACATCAGGGGCTCGTTTTCTCAGATGTGAAAGCCTCTTCTCATTAGTGTTTCCATCTCTTTCGTGCGTGTGCTCTGGAAAAAAAAAAATCTGTGAAAGGGGGGCGATCTTTCCACCGGCTCTCGCGTTTGTGAAACCTGCTGCTCAGATCTCTGAGCGCGACAGAGGTTTGCTGCCTGGAAATACTCTATTGGTGATCAGAGGCATCACCAGATTACTTTTTATTCAGAGTTTCCATTGATGAAGTGCATGAAGCTGCCTTTCGAAAGGAGGTGCAACCTCAGCTGCTGCTGTCCTCTCTGTCCTCATTGCACGCAGCTGGGGTGCAGGTTAGGGTGTTTTTTTTTTTTGTTTTGTTTTTTTTTACCAGCTGTAATGGAGCAGCAAAACCAAACTGGGGAACTCAGAAATTAAGCAAATTCCTCACTGCCTGTTCCCATTATTCACCCGTGGGCAGGGAGCCGAGAGAGAAACACCGATGCAAAACATTTATTTTTGCCAGAATCAACCTTTGCACAGGGACAGCTTCAAAGGGGTTTCCTTTTAGCTACTGCATAAGAATGAGATGTAAAAATCACCTGCTCAGCACACCCAGCACACAGCCAGGGCCATGTATGTGCCTGGCTCATCGGCAGCAGGGATGCTGCTGTGCCCCAGCCACTGTGCCTCACAGATGTGGCACTGCCACAGCAGGCTGATTTTCCTCCTGGAAATCAAGCAAAAAGGGCTTTTCCTCAGCAGTGAGCATGGCACAGCCATGTGCTCGGCACCCCGGGGTGCCCCAGGGGCTCAGCATCCCCGCAGCCAGGGCAGGATCGTCCCTGGCCGTGCCGTTGGGCTCCTCCGCCTGTTATCAGCGTCTGTTTTGCCAGGTGCTCGGCCTTGGGACGTGGCTGTGTCTGCCTTCCTCTCCCACTCCTGCCTGTTTGTAGGCTCCCGTGGGAGCTGAGCCTCCCTGGCCCTGCTCCCTGCTCCAAAGTCATCAACCAGCGCTAGCAGGAGGAAGCCCAAAGCCCCGAGGTGCTGAGCACAGGGAGCCCAGGCGCTCTCGAAGCATCTTTCCAACCCGGCTGCGTCCTTTTGGTGCCCCAGCCCTGGTGCAGGGGCTCGCCCTGCTCCTGTAAAGCTCCTTGAGGCAGGCTCGGCGCCTTGCAGGATCCGGCCCAGCCTAATTATCAGCTGCTGTGTCAAGGAAAAAAGCTGAAAATCGTCATCCATCGCAGGATGGAAGCGTACAAGTCCCCAAGTCCTCTCTCTCGAACATCCGTGCCTGGTCACATCCAGGCAGGGCTCAGCACCGGGCGGGGGCTGCTCCTTTTCCCAGCAGGATTTACTGCCGGTGGATGCGACGCCACAGCCTCCTCCGCAGCCCTGAGGAGAGAAGGGGCCGGTCAGGGTCAGCGTGGGGTGCCCCCAACCCCGAAATTGGTTTTTCTCCCCATTTCCCTCTCCCAGGATGACCCCGGGGTGCGCGGTGCTTACGGTAGAAGCGGAGGGCGGTGGGCACCACGCTCAGCAGCAGGATCAGGGCGCCGGCGGCCAGCGGGACCCAGACCAGGGGGCTGCAGGCACCTGGAAATAGGGGGGGGACACGGTGTGGAGCTGGGCACCGTCTGCCCAGGTGATGGAGTATGGGGTGGGCAGGGAGCAAAGCAGCTCAGGACTTCGGGAGGGGATGCGTTAAGCCAAAGGCATCGGGGGGAACTGAGCCATGGAAACCTTTTTTGTGGCATCCTTGCTGGTTTTCCCCCACCTGGGGGGAGGCTGCACACCCAGAGGGCACCAGAGCTAACTGGGAATCCATCCTGGCCCCAAACCCCCCTCTAACCCAGGGGACAGCTCAGCTCACAACCCTCCCCGAGGCGGCCGGAGCTGAAGTGTTTCTGTTACCTTTGCTGCCCGCGGCTTTGCTTTTGGGTTTGCACCGGGAGGGTCTCCTGGTGAGCGGGGCCGGCCTGGACGTGGAAGGCAGGGGCAAAACATCGACTGGGAAAGAGGGAGAAAGTCGTGAGCATCACACCGAGCACAGCAGCAGCTGGGGCTGGAAACTGGGGCTTTTAACCCTAAATCCTTTGTGCAGTCACAGAAGGGTTCGGGTTGGAAGGGACCCTAAAACCCATCCGGCTCCAGCCCCCTGCCATGGGCAGGACCCCTCCCAGCAGCCCAGGCTGCCCAAAGCCCCATCCAGCCTGGCTCTGGGCACCTCCAAGAGGGAAATTTCCCCAAGCTTCACTTGCTGCCAGGCACAGCCCAACCAGCACGGCCCCAAAGCCAGAAATAAGCACCCGTTATTTATTTTCAGGTTCTGTGTTGCTGCCCGTCGGGCGCTAACCCCGTGCTCTTTACCCGCGAGCGCAGGGAATGGGATCTCAGCAGCATGGGAGGTTTTAAGGGCTCCCCGAATCCTTCCCGTATTCACATCGTTGTTGCTCAAAACTGTGTATTTCTCCTCATAAAATTTAGACCCAAAGGGGTTTCAGGGGTGTTTATTTTATTGTGGGTACCAAAGGGAAAAAAGAACAAGTCCCGGGGGGTCGGAGCGCTCCCCAGCCACCTGCTGGGGTTTAGTTTTACGTTGGAGCGGCTCTGAGCGTGCCAAATTTCAGTCATATTTTTCATGCCTTGCTTTTGGGACATAGATAAGCGCATAGCTAGTTAAAAAACAGCTCTCTGTTATCTTAAAGCAGCTTTCCTCCTAGCCAGCAAGGGTCCAAAAGGGATTTCTGAGGCAGCTCAGTGAATGAGAGGTGCAGGGCGTATGTGTAAAAAGAAGGAAAGGGAAGTTTTAGAGCCAGCAACCACAGCTGCAGCTTGGTGAAATAAGGTATTTGTGTCCCTAAAAGCCCCCAGGGAAAGGGTTGGAGCCTGCTTCGAACACACAAATGTTCCTGTGCCACCCCTGCTCCGTGCTGGGGGAGAACTGGGCAGAGGGGAGCTGCTGTGGGACCGGGGCTCTGCCCAGCGGTGCTCCCCAGGCGACCTGCAGGGTGGAATAAATCTCAAATAAATCCCCTGTGTGAAGGGCAGGCTCAAAACCTGCCGCCGGACCCAACCCCAGGGGTGACGTCCCCTGGCTTTGAGCTGTCCTTGTCACCTGGAGAAGGGTGCGGAGAGCCAGAGCGTGGACGGACCCGGGAGATGAGCAGGGCACAAACCCAAACTCTCAACTAAAGTACTGTGGGAGGTAGCAAGATGCAGGGCATGCCAATACCGGGGCTGAATGGCTCCCCAGGGAAATCCTAAAACCAAGGCAGAGCTCACAGCACGACCACAGCAGTGATGGCAGAAGGCCTGCCCGTGCTGCTGCCCTGCAGTGCAGCTATCTGCTGCATTTTCTGCTTATCCCCTTCACAGATCAAGTTGTGAACCCCCTCAGAGCCTGAACCTTGTATCCCAAACCTGGACAAACCATCTACCACCACACATCCCCTCATCACAGCCGACCGCCGGCACTTTTGGGCGCCCCGGGGGCGATGCTCACCCACGCCGAGCCTGGTGCCACTGCCCAGGACGAGCTCGGAGGACTGGGAGACAGAGCAGTAATACATGCCGGTGTCTGAGGCATGCAGCTGGCCGATGTGCAGGCTGTAGGACTGGGAGCTCGACCCACGGACGCTGAACTTCTCCTGGTTGACGTTGCTGCCGTAGGTGCTTTTGCCCAGTGAGTTGGAGAAGAGCAGGAACTCGAACTGCTGCCGCTCCGGGCTCCAGCGGTACCAGTACACCCCGGTGTGCTCCCTCCTCGTCTGGCAGAGGATGTCTGTGCTGCTGTTAGTTTGGGCTAAAATATGGTCTGGAGTCTGGGTCAAACGTAGATTGGCACAGAAACCTACAGAAAGAGCGAGGAATACATAGCTGTGTATTTTAGTTTCGTTAGAACTGTAGAATCACCTCAGTTGGAAAAGACCTCCAGGATCACCGAGTCCCAGCACCAAACCACGTCCCTCGGTGCCAAATCCACACTTAAATATCTCATAAATACCTCCCTCACTTCCCTTCCATGCTAAGAACTCCTTTGGGGGCTCAGTAACACCGAACCAGAGCCCCTCTGGCAGAAACACCAGCCCATGCTCCTTCAGAGGCCTGTGTGGGTCCCCAGCTATTTTTTGGCAAAACCAAGATATTTTGGCAAAACCATATATGACTGCATTTTGCCCCATAACTGCTCCTCTAGAGACGGAGCTCAGTGGCAAAGGGAGGGATGGAGGGATGCTTTTAAGGGTGTGCTAGGGCCTGCATTGGTTGGCATTCCCTCATTTTTTGGAATCTACAGATCCTTTTGAGCTCCTTAACGCACGTCAAGAAGGTGGTGGAGGTGTGGGATATGTGTCAGCCTCCTCCTAAAAAAATGCATCTCCAGGAGTGGCAGCAAAAACTCTGGAAGGAACGGGAAAATTAATGTAAAAGGATCAGAAAATTAATGAAAAGGTAACGGCATTTCAAAGTGAGCCCATTTCATTTTCTATTTATTCCTCTTGTTCACAGGGGTTTTGTGATCTGGGGAAGGAGAACGGCTCAAGGGTAGCGGAGGGGTTCAAAAGCTTCCATCTGGCACCGCAGCGCCTTGTTTGGGCTGAGCAAGTTTTGGGGAACAATTATCTCGGCCGGGCTTCGCCCGGGCAGACACTGAGCGGTGTTTGTGTGCGAGCGAGGAGCGAGGCGGTGCGGCCTTGGGGAGCGAAAAAGGAGCTTTGTGCAGTCCTTCGTGTTCAGCAAACAGCCCACACAGCTGCAGAGACCGAGCGAAAAACACCCTCAGGAGATAAGGCTGCGCTCTTTTTCCCCGCTACTTTCCCAGGCGTGCTTTAAAGCCATGCAGAATGAGCCCCCTTTTTCCCATTTTTTTGCCTTAAAATGTCCCCATTCCTTCAAAATCCCATGGGGACAGCTGCACAGAAATCACTTTGCACTTACAGCCCCATCCCGGTGCTGGCTTCTGGCTGGGAGCAGGGGCTGGGGCTGGGTTTGTTCCCCATGCGGGCACAGCTCAGGAACAGGCCCCGTTTCCCTTGCAGGTTGCCCGTACGGGGCACATTCTGCTTTATTGGGGTTTTCTCTGGAGAGGAGACAGCCGATTTGGTCCGTAATGTGATGCTTTTCTCCCCAAAGGCACTATTTCATTTTCTTAGAAGTTATTTAATCTTCACAACCCTGCTCCTTGCTGTGACCAGCAGGCTCATAGTGTCACAGGGGGACCCCACAGCCGTATGGGGTCAACTCTATATTTACTGTTTGTACAGGACATGTATATATGCTATACATACACACCAACTACAGCACTTATACCTCACCTATAGCACAGATACATCACCTACAGCCCATATACAGCAGCTACATTTTCTCTCCAGCCCCCTGCGATCCAGCGGCAAGCAGGTTTTTATGCCACACGACTTCTCGCAGAGGCCCTTTGGAAACACTCGGGAGGAAATCTGCCTGGATGGTCGTCCTCCTGACGCTACTCTGGGGGCTGCTTTGCCCAATTACTGAATATCCATCAGCAAAACGAGGCACCCGGGGGGTCAGCAGCTTCCCACTGAACGCCTGCACTGAGGGGGTGCAGTCAAACCAAGCCCTGCGGTGTCTACACCATTAAATATTACATTCTAAATTATCGATTGGGGAGGTAATAATGTCCCGTAGCTCCATCCTGAGCCTGGATATTTCAGTTCCCCTCACCCAGAGGCCTCTCTCTTACCTGGGAGCTGCAGGCAGAGCCAGAGGCAGAGCCACAGCCGTGCCATGGTGGCGATGCCCAACGTCCCCAGAGGCTGGGAGACCCTAGGGGGACCCTGGGGGACCCCACGCTCCAGGGGGAGACCCTCGGGATCCCGTTCTCCTGGTGGGATGGATGTGACTGGTGGCGGTGTGTCTGGCTGTCCCCCGGCTGCGTGCAGATGCCACCGGTGACGTCTGGTGAGAAGCGGAGGCTTCTTCCGTGCCCAGCCCCAAAATCAGGTGTGCGTCAGGCCCCCTGCACCGCACGGGGCTGCCTCGCAGCGCCCTCAGGAAGAGAAGACCCCAAAGTCATTCAGGGCTGGCTTTTTCCTTATTTCTCCATATTTCCCCACGTGGCTTTTCCTTCTCTTTCCAAACCTAGCCCCTAGCAATTAAAGCGCAGCCGGCTAATTCGGAGGGCTTGGCATTAAAAGACAAGAAGGAAGCGATGAACTCGGGCTGGTTTCTCCTCTCTTAAAACCAAATCACTTTCAAAAGGAGCCGAGGCAATCAGAGGCGTGCGGCCCTTTTCTTCAGCAGAAGGCAGCAAAATTGGCAGCAGCCGCTGGTGCTGGCAAGCAGCAGGTGAGGAGCCATCCTTCTGCAGGAGGCGTTTTGTCCTGGCCCTGGAAAACGCCGAGAGCACCCCTGGCTCTCCATGAAGCACACGTGAGAGGCATCGCAGAAAGCTTTGAAGCCGACAGCACGAAACCTCAAACAAAGGCTGTTTGTTAGCGGCTGACAAACCACAAAAGTAAGGAAATTCTGCTCGGGCTCCCCACCTGGCCCCGAGCTTCGACACCAAGTGTCTCATACGCAGAAATATTTAAGTCATAAGTGAAATATCAGAGCTGCTTCGAAAGGCCCTGGGTGCTGCGAGGTTTGAAGCATGCAGGGTTTGGGATCTGGACGGTGAAACACAGTGGTGTGAAATTGCAGGGGAGAAGGGGTGGGTGGGTGGCAAAACCCTTCGATATTTCCATGTTTGGGAAAAAAACAACACGTGGCATTTGGTGTAATTTTCTTCACTCTCTTTGCCGGGGTTCCCTTTCGGTTTCTGCCCCCTCGCACCCCGAATCGTGGTGCTTGCAGAGCCCCCGCGGTGGCTCCGGGGGTTCCCCTGCTCCTGGGGGTCTCCCATAGGGGCACGGGGACCCCCCCAGTGCTTCGAGCTGGCCGACGAACAGGAAAAAATGATTCGTAGTGCAGTTTTGCCTTTCAATTTTTCACCAGATTATTCTTGGTGGCTCTGACACGCTGCCCCCACCCCCTCCACCCTGTTCGATACGATTTCCTGCTCGGAGCGGGCTGCTCTAACCACCCCAGGGCTTGTGGCGAAGGGCTCAGCTGGTAACATTTAGGGTTAGCTGAATCATCCCCTAACTCCTTCCCGGCAGGAGCAATCCGGAGGTCATTTTGGTGCTTTCGGGCTCGCTTCTGTGCTTTCAAGCCGTCGTTTTTGGTGCTGAGCCCTGGGCACAGGGTGCTGCCAGCAGGGCAGAGCTGTGCTTGCTGCAGTCCCTGCTCCGGCCACGGTTTCTGACCAGGTGCCTTCACCTGGGTGACATTTTCCCTTTAACCCCATGCTAAAGCTGGCGAGCTGATGTTTGGGGCTGCTGCAATAGCTACGTCCCCCCCATCCCACCAATCTCACTGCTGAAACCCGGACCGAAGTGCTCTCAGAGGTGGCTTTTGTCACCTGTACAGCCTTGGGCATGTGGCACGTCTCCCCGAGCAGCCACGAGGCTGGTGACCCTGGCTTCCCCAAGCAGCTACTCGATTTGGGAGGGTTCCCCAGGACGTTATAGCACCTTTACAGACCCTTCCCTGCAGAAATTCAACCTAGATGTCCCCAATGGAACGAAAAAGGAATGCTTGCAATGCAAAAGCTTAACGAATGTGTTGGAATAATATTTTTTTTCCCCCAAAAAATGCTGTTTAGCTATTTACCAAGCAGTTCTCAGGCCTGGGTGCTGCTCCTACACGCAGGTGCTGGTGGGGAGATGCCCGTGTCTCGCAGCCCATGGCTAACAACATCACGAACACTGTGGGAGCGTGCCGGTGGCCAGCTGCTGTTTATTCCAGCCCTACGTTGTTTGGGGCTGCCTGTCCTGGGAAGAAAATAGAGGAGGGAGAGAGTTGGTGATCTGAACTGGTCCGGTAACACAACAAGATGTGTGGGTGACCTTGCCAGGGCGCAGCGGCTCCCGTGGGACCCTAGTCACGAGCGGTTGGCTCATGGCTGGGGCAAGATGGGGGGGATTTTTGTATTTTTGTGCATTTGTGCAATTTGTCTGCACAGTTCCTAGCAGGATTTAATTCTTAAGTCTCTGAAATGAAATACATTTATCCCAGTCCCCTGCCCAGCTGTCTCCCTGCCCTGTCTCAGTGCTCTCCCTTCAGATCTGCTCCTTGCCCATCCCCTCTGCTTCTTCTCAGAGTGCAGCCTGTGTGCCTCACCCTGCCAGCACCAATTCCCTGCTCCTTTGCCAGCTTTGTTACAATTTTTAATCTCCATTTCCCCCTATGATTTATTTATTTATTTTTTTCCCAGCAAAGCGTTTGCTTCTGAGGGGTAGGAGCAAACCATTGGGAAAGAAGAAAGGGGTCTGCAGACGAGAAGCAGGACCCCATGGGATTTCCAGGTCTGTTAAAATCCCATTTAACAGCAGAGGCATGGGCCAGGCTGGGCTGTAAGGGATGAGAGGATCCAGCACACGCTGCCTGCTGGGCTCAGTCTGTGCGGAAGGTCGGAGCTCTTCAGTAGCCACAAATGCAAACATTTGCCATAAAATAAAGAAAAAGACAGACTCTCCCTTAATTCCAGCCTACAAAGGGTGGTTTTTGGGATTGGGGAGGGTTTCTCAGTCTTGGGCCTGGTCAAACACGGCTCTGAAAGTGAGAATGGAGTTACTGGAAATCCAGGATAGCAGGCTGGTGGGGCCCCGTGGAAACTCCCCAGGGCTCAAGTAGCAGCAGCTGAGCATTTTTTTCTTTAATTAGCTCATTCTAGTGAAAAGTTTGGCTCCTGGAGTATGTCAGGAGGGGATAAGCAGCGGCGAGAACGACGGCACCTTCGCTTCGGGGGGGTGAGCAATGCCCTTTTCTGTGCAATGGCAGGAAAAAAAACCAAAAAACAAAAACACACACAACGAAGCGGGTCGGGTTTGCTACACGGCTCCGAGCTGCGGTGTGGTTTGTGAGGCCGGGGTTGGAGGTTTGCTCGCCTCTGCAGGTGCAGCCCTGCAGCTGCCGTGCAGCTGAGGCAGGGGCAGGGTTTGCTCCCCCGTCACAGTTTTGGGGCACAGGTTTGCACCCCCCCAGGTGCGTGCCGGTGTGCAGCAGGCCGGGTGGTGGTGTGGCAATGCTGCTTTTCGAGTCCAGAAGCCCAAATGGACGTCTTGCCTCCCTCTGCAAGCAGATTTGGGCTTGAGGAGGGATGTGGGGTCCCTCGTTTTACAGGTTCAGGTGTGATCCCCCAGCAGGTGCTGGCAGAAACGCATGCAGAAAGCAAGCAGGCCGCGAGGGGAATTTGGGGGTGCTGGTGCTTAGGGGACAGGCAGCAGTGAGTGCCTCCAGATCTCCCTCTTGAGGACACTCGGTGCGAGCAGAAATTACCATAAAAATGTGGTGACTGCTCCTGCTCCCCCCTCAGAAAAACAACCAGCACCTGCTGCCGCGTGATTTCAGCCACCCTTATCAGTGCTGGGGAGGATAGGGGAAGGCAAGGAAAGCGTCCTTGGGAAGATAGCGTAGAGATGTGGCACCTGAAGGGAGGGAAAGCCACCGAGGAAGTAAACAGAGGCGTTTTCAGCCCCAAACAACGACCTGACATCCCTATAAAAAGCCACCGGGTCCGGGACCCCGCAAACACCTTGACCTTAAAGGTGCTGAATTCAACGGAGCTCTGCGGCAGCCGTCGTCTCCGGATCGCCGGGACTCGCAGCGCGTCCAGCCGAGGATTGGTGAGATCTTATTATCGGGGTCCCCCGCCTCTGCGCCGCTTCTCCCGTCCCCCGGGAGCGGGTGGGTCGCGGCGGCCGCCCGCTAGGGCCGCGGCTACCTGTCCCCGCTGTCCCCTTCCCTCGGCGTCCCCGGGTGAGTGCGGCCGGCCGAGCAGCGAGGGGTTTTTGGGAGGTGTGGCTGGCGGGGCCGGGTGAGACGGGGGTGCTGGTGTTATGGTAGCTTGGCTGTGAGACAGGAGCCTGTCTCTCAGGTCGCCCCCCTTTTCTCCTCTCACTATGATGACCGATATCGTTAGCAACTGGAAGCTGGAGCAGTTTGTGCTCCAGAAGTGTCTCCCTCCGGTGTGGTCTCCGGGGGCCTTCCAGGGCCCGGAGGCGTACCAGCAGTTGTGTCAGCAGTGGGAGAGCTGGTCCGAGGAGACCAAAAAACCCAAACCCACCAACAAGTGCAAGAAAAGAGCGGCCTTGCAGGGTTTGCTGATGGTGGGCAGGGAGCTGTCGAAGCTGCTGAAGGAGGCTCTTGAGAGCGTGCAGACGCTGGAGCAGGCCAAGGGCGAGCTCAAGATGCAGGTGGACAACCTGCGGGCGGAGGTGCAGGGCTTGTGCGGGGACTCGCTGAGGAGCGCGGTGGAGATAACCCGGCTGGAGAACAAGCTGGGCTACGAGAAGCTGAAGACGGAGGAGCTGGAGAAGGAGGTGGGCAAGTGGATCGGGGAGACTCATGACGCCCAAAGCGCGGTGCGGGCCTGTCCTGCAGGACGTCCAGCGGGACCGGGGCACCGGCCCCGATCACAAGGTGTGCCATGCCAAAATCCAGGAGCTGCAGGCTGAGCTGGGGGTGTCTCGGGGCATCGTGGCTGCCATCCAGGGCAAGAGGAGCCGGTTCGGGAACGGGGAGGGGGACGACTGCCTGGACCCGCACCCGCCCCACTACGACTATGAGGATGACGTGTGGGGGGCTAACGGCCCCACCAGGCCATCCCCATATGCTCCCCTGCGGGAGGAGATGTGCCAGATGCAGGGCTCTGAGGCTGAGGCTGCTAAAATTAAAAAGAGCCCCCCTGAGGAGCCAGCCAGCCACGGCCCGCTGCAGGCCATCGACACCAACAGGGCCATGCTCTGGTTCACCCCCGAGCAGCTCAAGACGGTGGGGAAGATGCTGGGGCCGCTGACCAAGGAGACGGCCGTCAACTGGCTGTCACGGGCCCAGAGGCTGCCCAGGTGCCAGAGCGGCAGTGCTGTCAGCGACCTGATAGACGTGGTGAGAAAATGCATGAAACCCGACGATTTCGCGGCCCTGCCAGGGGACGTGCAGATGGGCAACGTCCAGGACATCGGGGATGTCCAGTCAGCTGTGCTGAAGGTGTTTTTCCCCGAGGTCAACCCCTTGGTGCTGTTCCACCAGGAGAAGCAGAACCCCGAGGAGCGGCCCGATGCCTACGTCAACCGTAAGAAGATGCTCTACCAGATGGCCGGGCTGCCCGGCTCCAAGGAGACCCCCCTCGATTTTGACAGGCCTGAATTCAAGGAGCCGCTGGTGGTGGGGCTGACCCCCCCCCTGCGGGTGATTGCGGGTGGGGACGCGGCGAGGAAGCCGCTGTCGGAGCTAGAGCAGATCCTGACCCAGAATTTCGAGCTGCAGAAGCAGGCCTTCCCCGGGTACATGCTGGGGGGGAAGAAGGGAAAAACCTCAGCCATGTCCTTCCAAAACGCGGGGGTGAGGAAAATGCAAGGAGACAACCGGAAAGATCCCGATGGCAAGAATGGCCTGGGGAAGGAAAACCAGCAAGGGCCGAGGTTTCAGAAGTCCAACCCTTGGCGGGCTGAGCTGAGGAAGCGCTTGATCAAATACGAGAAGCAGGAGGACATCGACGGCTTGCCAGACGCCGAGCTCTTCCGAAAGCTGGCGCTGCACGAGGCCAAGAAGCACAGCAGCTCCAACCCCATCGAC